GGGCAAAACCAACAGTGCACACTGAGCAAGTGTCCCCAGCCAATGGCTCTGAGTACAGGTTATCCCTTTCAGTCCTTACCAGGCCCATGTACAGTAGATGCAGTCATTCCCATTTCTCAGATGACTAAACAGTTGGAGGGAGGTCCAGTGAGTTGCCCAAGGTCACAGAGTTAATAAGGGTAGATTTGAATTCCCCACCCCTGCTCTTATCTACTAGTCAAGAAACTTAAAAAGAGGGAATTGGGAATGCTTTCTGGGCTCTGCTGTATAAAAACCTAAAAGACACAGGCTAGGTCGTATGAAAGAGAAGGTTCCCTGGCCAGTAGGCCCCAACTTAATTCACTTACTCATTCATTCATCAATTTCCTAGCCCTTTCTCTGTGGCACACATTGTCCTGGGCTTTGGGGATAATCCAGTGGAACAGACAGTACCCTTCCTCTCCTGGGATCCTTGCTCTCTCTTGGGAAGGAAACAGGCAACAAACCAGCACATAAATAAAGAACAAGAGTGTGATACATGTTAAATGACTGTAACTTAAATGCAGATAAACAATCCATAATATGGGTATTTTTCCTAGAGCTTCCTATAGGACTGAGAACCTCAGCATTTTCTACCTACTCATTCAACCCTTATCACAACTCTACTGAGGTAAATGTGAATACAATCCTTATTTGACTGGGGAGGGACTTGAGGTATGGGGAGGTGAGGTAGCCATGCCCAACATCACAGGGCTGGCAAACCAGGATTTGTTTCCAGGCAGCCTGGCTCCAGAGCCTTGGCTTGTCATCTCTGCCCTGGAGTGCCTCCTTTCCACACTATCAGCCCCCTGACGAGGGGCTGGCCGGTGATGGTCACATAAAAGGGGCCACCTGAGGGTGCCATCTCAGCCTTCCCAAAAGACAGCAACATGAGCACTGGACCTGAGGGAGAGAGGCGTCCTGCAGGGGAAATGGGTCAGCATGGTGAGGCTCAATGACACCAGGACTCTCCAAAGCTGCCCTGGTCCCAAGATGGTCAGGGAAGATTAGCTCTGCTGGGTAAAGCGGGGGAGGCAGGTGGAGTCTCATCCAATTTTCTCCACCTGTCTCCCAAGCCCCGGTCAGGATGACTGCAGCCCAGAGAGATGACCTCACCCTTAGTGCTGACAAATCGTTTCTGAGCCCCAAAACTCAGGGCTGGTTCGGGTGGGACAAAGAAATGCCTCTCCCTGGGAATCCCAGGCAGTGCTGCCTGTCAGATCGCAGCCTCGGGGGCAGCTTCACTTGCTGAGCACCTCCCACCCCAGGGCGCTGGGCCTGGCTCTTCCCACAGGCTTTCCCTCTTCCCTTCCCCCTCAAAATCTCCCTGTAAGTCCCTAGGGGGTTCTTATTCTTGATCACAGCGAGGCCAGGACACCTGTATACCATATGGGGATGGAGAGCCAGGGTTCGAGGCCTGGCTCTGCTCCCAATTCCAGCTTTCTGCAAACCTGCACCCTAGGAGGCCACAGGGATGGCTCAAGTACTTGGGACCCTGCCACCTATCTGAGAGACCCAGATTAAGTTCCTGGCTGAGGGCACCTAGGGTGAGCAGAAAGGGGCAGGAGCCATGAAATCTAAACTGTTATCGTCACTGGACCCTCCTTCGTGCCCACTGGCTGGTGTGGCCCCAAGGGACACAGGTAATAGTAGGAAGGCCTTGAGATGACAGCCAAGCAAACAAATTGCAGGGAATTCATGGGACACCTCAGGGGCTCCCAGAACAAGGCAGGAGAACAACCGTGAGCAGAGAAGGACACAGAAAACAACTGGTGTTTACAGTCCCTATTGGGACCCCCCCCCCCAGCCCCTGTGGCCTAGCCTAGAGATTTAGCAAAGACACAGGAAGGATTTTTGCTGAGATGTCCAAGCCCTTGGTTTTTTCAGAACTGATGTTCCAGCTCCTTCCAGGGACAGTTCTGCCTCTAGGCCCAAATTCTGGGTCCAGAAAGCAGGTGCTTTCTTGATCAAAGAGGCTTCCACAGACAGACACGGGACTCAGAACAACAATGAGCCAGGAAGTCAGTCCAAAGGAGTCACATGGGCTGCTGAAGCCCCCCGAAGTGCAGGCAGAGACAGACCCTGGGGGATAAATCCAGGTCCGCAGGCCAGGATGGTAAAAGGGACCCTGCCACAGCCCCAGCAGCCAGCAAAGCATCCAAGGATAGCAAATCAGTTAAGGATGGAGATCAGCCAAGGGTGCAAGGGGAAGGCACCTGAGACAGGCCAGCAAGGGCCACCTAAGGAGCTGGAGGACAGGGACAGGGTGCTTGAGAGCTGTTACAGCAGCTTCCTGTCTGCCTCCTCGGCTCTAAGGCAGAGTGGGAGGCACAGACCCAGCAGCTGCGCAGCAAGGAGGCCCTCGCTCTACAGGACACAGACCTCCCCCACCAGAAGGAGCCCCAGCAGGTGCTTCCGGGCCCTGTGTGCAAGCAGCCTTCCAGAGCTTGGTCAGGAAGCCTCCCTGTAGCCCAAGCTGTCCCCAGTGCGCGCAGCGAGCTCCCAGGGCGTGTGTGTGCGGCTCCAAAGCCAGGACTGGTCCGTACCCTCCACCCCCATCCTCGCCCCGCTCCAGCCTCATCTGCATTTAACATGCCTTGTTGGGCTGTGGCAGAGAATACTCAACAGACTCATATTAAAAATGCCCTTTAAAATTCAAAAGCTTTGAACTAAAGAAATACCTCAAGAAGTTTTCATGGAAAGTTCAGCTCCGCCAGTTCAATTCACTACACTTAGATGCACCTTTTCAAATAATAGGGAAAAAATGTAACAGGGTCAGGCCCAATCAATACGCTTGTTCAAACAGAATTGCGGGGACTGTGATGTGCACGCATTTTGTACTCTGCCTTTGTACCCCGCCATTCGCTCTGAAGAAAGGTTTCTTTGCTAGGGGAGCAATGAAAGTGGTAGCCTTTTGAGTGGAGGCGGCAAAGCGATGGCGTGTTTACCAGGCCGGGAGGGGCTGCCAGTTTTCATGTCTTCCCGGCCTGGTCTCTTTGTTCTTTTCATAACAGCGCACAACCCACATGGGCAAAGTCCCCTGCACACCCTGGTGTCTGATGCCGAGTCGCAAGTAGAGGGCTCCCAGCACCTGTCTGTCGGGTCTCAGAAATGTGATTTGTGGATTAGACAAATGATTTGCAGCTTCTTTCCCACCCTTGGTGAGAACACAAAAGGACTTGTCAATGACTACTGTACTGCAGTTGCAGGAAACTCCCAAAGCCCAAAGTGGGCTCCTGCCTTGGCCAAGCCAGGGCCTGGATCCCCTCCCTTACCTCCCATCTGTTCACCCCTAAATCCTCAGGCCCCCAGAGAATGTCTGTGGGCCCACAGATGATTCTCCTGGGCTCTGGACTGCCACATAAAATAGCCAGGAAAATGCTGGGGAGCCCATCTTCCCTGATGGCAGCCAAGGGGTCTGAGGGAGAGGAAGGGCTACCTGCAGTTTACATTCCCCCAGACGGACACGCAGGCAGGCAGAAAGGTGACTGATGGGGAAAAACAAAATGCGTGTTTCTAGCGTTGACACGAGCCTGGGCACATCCACTTCAAATGGACTCACAAACTGTACACCTGTGATCACCCAGCGATGTCCTGGGTGTGGCGGGAATCTTGGCAGCTCCAGAGGTTCACGTGGGAATTAGGAAAAGGTATTACTCCCAACCCGCTGGAAACCAGATCCTGAAACAGATTGTTAATAGACACACATCCTGGGCCCACGCTGGGCTGGGCTGAAGTCAGAACCCAAGAGTGGATGCCCGCAGGTGGATGCGGGAGGAGCACTTCCCATCCCGTTGGCAACAGCAACCCCATTGTCTACAACGCCACTCGGGCTTGGGGTCTCCCGTAAGGGAATGAAACTGGAATCACCGGGCCGGGCCGGGCAGCGCTTCCCGGAGCTGCCGCCCCTGCAGGGGGCCTGGGCAGCCTGTGCTTTCATAGATGTTCCCCACTTCCCTCAGGTACCAAGGGGCCTCCTGAGGGGGTGGCGCAGGGGCCTCGCAAACAGGAGGTGACCGGGCCTCTGCCCAGGCGTGGTCTCCAGCGAGTCTGGGCCGGGGGCCTGACACACTCTCCCTAGATGGAAACTGGGGCCACAGTTTTTACAGGACAGGCTCCTGGGAGAGCATTCTGGAAAGAGCCGCTAGTTAGAGTTGCCACGTTTCCCCTTCCACAGGACTGGGTGTGTGAAACGCAAACCGAGACCAACAGGAAGAAACCCTCTGATGTGTTTTCATGGAGACAGTGTCCACAGATGGCTACTCTGTGGGGTGCGTATTGCCAGCTTTTTTTTTGTTTTTTGCTTTTTCAGGGGTCAGGGGCCTTTGTACTCAGCTATGGGACCTTTTCATCTGTTAGAGACACCTCCAAGGAATGCTTAATACTGAGGAATATTATTTTAAAATTAAAAAATCAGTAGCTAAAAAAGCAGCCGGATCCCCTGTTCTGAATGCCTTTGGATCTACTTTCCCAGCTTAAATAGTTGGAAAGCCACCCCGAACCTCAGATGTTCCTCTCGGCAGTACACAAAATCTGTCATAGCAACAGACCCCTAAGCCGAGCTGGCCACTTGCCCTCCGCTTCAAGCATACATCACAAGTCAAAATGAACTACATACAAATCCCGTTTGCAATGGTCCATCGCTAACCCGCCTCACTGGAACGAGCCGGTGGCGTGTGGGCTGGAAGGCGGCCTGGGGCGGCCCCCACACGACCCTGGATTGGACGTCCGTCTGCCAAGCCAGCCCCACAAGGGAGTCTGAAGTTCAGCAGCTTCTCAACCCCGGGCCGGGGTGGGGACCAACCTGAGTAGCTACAGAAGCCCAGCTGAGGGCCCCAAAGCAAGACCTGCTTCCCCCGGGCCTGCAACGTCAATCAAGTGTCAAGGAGCTGGTTGAGAGCTAACAGAGGAGGTTTTTCCAAAGAAATGGGAAAAACACTACCACTGGCCACTTACGCACGAAGGAGGCACAAGGAAACAGGTCAGGTTAATATTTTAATCTGTACATCACATTTTTTTTTCTGCAAACCATTACACTCTTATTTAAATTAACCTTCTTCTTGCAAAATATTCATTTCATTTTCCAACAAAATCTTATAAAGGCAAAAATAAAATTTTATTTTGGCAAATGTCATGAAGTCGATACTGGCAGCATATGGAGTTAGTTAAAAATAGACGGCAACTTCTAAATATATTCAAGATTCTGTTTTTTCTGAACATAGTCAAAAACAAATTTTCCTTTAAAGAGTGGCTCCACCCACCAGAGTTTGGTTGTTTTTGTTTTTGGGTATAGAGACTATCATGAAAAGACTTAAAGACCCACAAGCACTGCACCTGGCTTCGTAGCCGCCTCCTCATTGTCAGCTGTAAGTCAAGTCGCAGCCCTGGGTGGCAGGCCATCCGGTGGCCCAAGTCCTAGGGAGGCGGACCTGGTGCTGCCCAGGACAGCAGCAAAGGTTCGCATCACAGGTTGAAGGAATCCATCCCATCAGAGTCTTTCGGGCAGATGCCACCCCGCGTGGAGTTTATTGCTATGATCCAATAAAAGTTGCTTCCTCTCTCCTTTCCTGGACTAAAAAGCCTATGTCTGAAAACTAAAGAAAACTTTTTTTTTGTCTTTTTCTTTTTGAGAAAAGCCCTTTGCTGAGGGAACCTCATGGATGAGGAGCCCAAAGCTTTTGAACACACTGTTACCCTGAACCAAACCCAAGGATCAAGGCACCATCCTGGTGGGGTTTTGCCCAGAGTCCGTGTGGTGCTGGGGATGGCGGCCCGCTACAGCCAAGTGCCACTGTCTCCCAGACAGCACGCAAGAGAGCCCAACGCTGGCATCCCAGGAGGCGTGCTCTCAAGTCCAGCCTTCACCTGAGTCCATCAGAAGCTGGACTGGCCTTGCTTGCCCTGCCCTTCTCCCCGACCCGCACCTGTCACCCAAATCATACCTGAACCTGTGTGTGCGGCTACAAAAGTCTGCATCCTCACCTTGCCAGCCACTCAGTCCTTGAGGTGAACATTAGCAAACATAGTCTAAGATACAGTGTCAGTATTTTACAGTGTGTATCAAAAGTGCCTCTGTCACAGATCAAAAGGAGTCCGAAGGAAAGTGAGTGGGTGTGTGTTGGGCCCTAGCCCTGTGGTGACTGTCCCGTCGGTGCGGGCAGCCCCTTCCTCCAGCCGGCGCCCCCACGTAGCTGGGAGAGATTTCCGTGCAGGCAGAATGGTTGATCTCCTCTGAGGAAGCTGATTCCAGGCTTCTCCTCTGCACGTTGGATCATGGGTCCGTCACTGCCTGGGCTGGCAAAAAGTACAGCAGACAATGAGAGGCTGGCAGGAGCCCTGCCCACATCTGGGCAGTGGGCGTGTCTGCACACACACACACAGGGACGCTAAGAGGCAGGGCAGCAGAGCAGGAGCCTTCAGCAATGCGGCCGCTGCCGGGGGACCCCCGGCTTCTAAGAATCATGGGAACTGGGCTGCACCCGTCCCCCACCCCCACTCTGCTTCTAGGAATGCATTCAGTCACATGGGAGCTCCCCAAACGGGGTCCTTGCTCCGAGAGGGCAAAGAGCCTGAGCAAAGACTTGGGGTTCAGCTCTGGTCCTGTCCTCCTTCCACTGAGTGGCTTTGGGCAACTCCCTCAGCCCTGTTCCAATCTAAAATCTAAAACCTCCGTGTGCCAGGGTCCTAGGACATGCAGATGCGACCTGAAGAGAGCAGGAAAGGCCTCCCTCACAGCCAGGGGCACCCACACTGGGGAGGAACACAGGGTGGGGCCGCCATGCACACCCTCTCGCGGCCCTGGCAGGTGCCTGCAGCCATCACCAAGGAACCAGCTGGAGTGTTTCTCCAGGGCTCCTCAGGCTGGAAGGCGACACCTGCCGGAACATGCTGTCCCCCACGCCCCGCAACACGAGCCCTCTCTGTCCCTCGTTTCACTCTCTTCTCCAGACATCTAGGGCGGCTGGCGATGAGCCCAGGAGCGCTGGTGAACAGAGGCCCAGGCTTGCACCACAGGGGTGTCGATCTTCACAGGGTTGTGTGCAGCCAAAGAGGTGCTGTGCCCCCTGCCCGGCACGTGGCGGGCACCCAACAATGTTAATGGTCAAGTGCAGAAAAACAGGTGGGGGGAGGCCCACACAACAGTGTGATGGACAGGCTGACAAGGCACTGCCCAGGTCTCCAGTCCAGGTGATGCAATGCATCAGCACCTAGAACCCACTCAAGAAGGAACCAGACACTGGGCCTCCTGCCTCCTAGTCCAGGAGCCTTCTCCATGGCCACCCCACCTCTCAGCACTTCACGCTTAGACCACGAGGACCTAGTGAAGGTGGCCAGCTGGGGGCCAACTTCACATTGCCTGGGCTTCCCCTCCCAAGGTGTTCAGTGACTAAAAGGGCAGCAAACCTCTCCCCCTGCCCTAGCCAGCTTGCTCTGGCCCAATTCTGTGTGACCTGGAGAAAGCCCAACCCCTCCCTGGGCCTCAGTTTCCTTATCTGTAAACTGGACTTTTTCCAGTCTGAACAGTTTTCAGTTTCATCAGCCAAAGCCTTCTGCCTCTCCTGTTCTTGCCCGAGGCCGGCAGTGTTATATACGGCCTCGGGAAGCCGAGCAGGGCTGGCCGGGCACAGTCCTGGCTCCAGGATTTCAGGGAGGCGGGGGCCTCCATCACAGTCTCCACTGAGGACCGAGGTCCGGAAAAAGCACCAGTTCCCCACCTGCCTGTAGTCCCGAAGGTCCCCCAAGCGGCCGCTTTGCCAGTGGAAGGAAGGAAGGGAGGCCAGCAGGTGGCGCTGCAAACACGTCGGGAGCCGCGGGGAAGGGAGGCGGGCCATGCGCAGCACCGGACTAGGGGCACGGCAGGCGGGGGCTCTTACTTGCAGCTGTTAGACAAAGGTGTAGTGGAGTCCGTTGCTTAAAGGGGGGTAAGGTGGCACCGTCCTGGAGGACAGGGGCCCTTTAGGCGGGAGGAGAGCCAGCTGCTGCGCTAGACGGGCACACAGGAATTAAGCGGTGTGTTAGACACGCCGGCGGCGCCCGCAGCACAGATGCCCAAAGGCCCACACTAATGACCCGGGCCCAGAGCGGGAGGGGGAGGGGGAGCCGGCTGGGATTGGCCTGCACGTCCCGGATGAGTCTCTGAGCCGGGAGAGGGAGTGAGAGCGAGGGCAGCCGCCGCGCGAAGACTGCCTTGGAGCCGAGAGAGGAGAAGGGCACGCCGGGTGTCAGGCTGCCTGTGCTGTCCGCTGGAGGCAAGGAAGCTGAGGCTGGCAGATCCACAGTCAGGCAAGCGCAGGTGAGAGGTGGTCGCCTTACTGGGGAGGCGGTAGCGCCCCCTCGGAACCCTGCACATGAGCCCCAGGTGGGGGACTGTGGCTGGCCATCTCCTGTGTCGCTGGCCACAGGATGCCACATGAGCATCTCAGTCCACTTCCTGTGTCCTCAGAGGGGGTGAGGTCAGCAGGGGTGTCAGGACTCCCTAGGATCAGGGTTGGAGGGCAGCGCGCAGAGGCCTCCTGCTGAGACAGTACCACCTGTCCACATGGCAGGTCACTCCCATGGCCTTCTGAGACCACACACCGCAGGGCCCCCAGGCCCCACTCTCGGCTACTTGTAGACCCTTGGTTGGAGTTGGAGGACCGGCAGGGGCTGTGAACCCACCTCCTGCTCAGGAGCCATCCCCTCTGCACTACCTGGACACATAGTGGCCTCTGGGGAGGAATAGGACAAGGTACACAGGGTCAGCACACAGGGGCGGTGTGGGGGCGTGGAGGCAGGTGCCTGGAGTCCCTCTCCTGGTGGAGAAGGGGAGCCTTTACACACACACGCGAACACGCACATATACACATGCTTCTGTGGACACACGTGGCTCCTTGTGGTGGTTAGTTTTCCCAGCTGGCCAGCACAGTTGTGGTTTGTGGCACAGGACAGTCTGACAAGGTCAACAGTGGCTTTGGTTTGGGGACGGAAGCAGGGGTCCCAGAGAGGACCTCTACTGCCCTCACCTTGATGTCAGAAACTTCAGCTGGGCCCCGGGGTCCAGGGGCTGAAAGCCTGTTCTATGAGCTCACAACTGCACAGGAAGTCAAATCAGCATTGCTCGCCCAGGGACCTCTTGGCCCTGACACTGCTGAGCTGTGGGGTCCTCCCTGTCTGCCTCGCTGCTAGGCCTGTCCGCCCCTCCTCCCAGCCCCACTGTGCTCCTGGGACAAGATACCCTCCGGTATGGAACACAGTACAGGCGCTCAACCACCCGCCCTGACACCTGACTCCCTGGCTCTGGGACAGGCCGTGCAGGGCCTGAGCCGGCCCGGAGGAGCAGTGGGCGAGACCGGAGCCCCGAGGCTGGCAGCCCAGGCCTTACCTGCCACCTGCTTGCTGCGTCGGGAGGCCTCGGAGGCCAGGGCGTAGGAGATGTTGATGATGCGCTCCTGCTCCTGCAGCTGCGAGTCCAGGTCGGCCACGCTGTTGCGGTCCTGGCCTGACGGTGGTTGCAGGTTGCACATGCTGCAGAAGGCCAGAGGGCAGGCTGTGGGTCCTCCCCGCCCCCAGGCATCAGCCTCAGGAGCGCAGGGTCTCCCCGGCCTGGGGTTCTCAACAGTTTAGAGGTGGGGGCATCCGACAGCAACTCTGGACTTCCTCCCTAGACAAAGGCATGCATGCCTCCCTTTCAGGCACCCCAACAATCACAGCCTTGCTCCCCTTTCGGGAGGGCCAGACCTCACATCCAGGAGAGGCTCCTGCTGAATTCAGATAGGAAGCGGCCAACCCAGCTCTCCAAGAAAGGCTTACACACTAGAGGGTTAAGCTTCTGAAGCCATGGAGGCCTAGGGGACAGGAAAGCTACTTCCTGGGTCCCTGGATCAGCATCCAGGCAAGTTGGGAAACACCTCTGGCACCCTCAGGACAAAGCTGGGGCTCCTACTGGTGATCCTGGGAGCACAGGCCCGAGTGCTGGGACAGCCACCATTGGAGCTGGCTCTCCAACTTGTCTGCTTTACACTTAGGCGTGGCTCCACTCAACACACTTGCTAGGGAGACTTGGGACACAGATTTGGGGGCCAGGGTCTGCCATGAACATTTCAGGATGTTCCCAATGAGCTGGGGAAGCCTCCTTGCTGATGACATGCTGGGGACCACCAGCCTGATCCCTCCAACGAGTGGACCTGAGACAGGGGCGTGGCAAGACACACACCGCAGCCAGGCTGACCCAAGACACCACCTGGGGTCAGGCCTAGGGAGCTGCTGAGAGTCCGTAGACGAGGGCTGACCTTGACCGTGCGAGGATGTTGCGGATCTTCTCGGCTTTACGATAACGAGCCTGCAGCTCCTCAAGGCTGGGTGGCTCTTCGGGGTCCAGCTCCACGTAGCGCTCTGGGATGGAGACCTTCTCTGGTTTGGACAGCTGTGGGAAGGGTCAGGAGGCGGCGGAGGGGAGGCTCAGCTGTTTGCGTTTGGAACCGGCTTTCTCCACCCCTCCCACCCCGAGGAAGCACATGGTGTCTGCGTAGGTTAAGGAACAGGCCCAGGTCACAAAGTTAGCCAGTTATGGAGTTGGGATCTGAACCTGGGTCCGACTCCAAAGCCAGACAATCTCTCACAGGCCAAGGGGAGGGCAAGACAAGGCGGAGCAACCACACTAACAGCTTGAGAGCTGAGCAGCTGCACTAACAGGTCTCAGAGCAAGCCAGACCCCTCTGGCCTCTCCAGCCACACGGACCCACCCGAGCCTCCCAGGCGGTGCCTGTGTGCCTGCTGCTTCCCCCCACTGAATGCTCTTTTTTTTTTTTTTTAAAATTTTCTTTTTCTTTCTTTTTTTTTTTTTTTTTGAGAGAGAGACAGAGAGAAAGGTCTTCTCCCCATTGGTTCAACCCCCAAATGGCTGCTACGGCTGGCGCTGCGCCGATCTGAAGCCAGGAACCAGGTGCTGCCTCCTGGTCTCCCATGGGGGTGCAGGGCCCAAGCACTTGGGCCATCCTCCACTGCCCTCCCGGGCCACAGCAGAGAGCTAGACTGGAAGAGGAGCAACTGGGACAGAACCGGCGCCCCAACCAGGACTAGAACCCGGTGTGCCGGTGCTGCAGGCGGAAGATTAGCCTAGTGAGCCACAGCGCTGGCCTGAATGCTCTTTTCTAATGGTCATTTTTTTTTTTTTTTGTCTTCTAAACATGTTATTTATTTGAAAGGCAAAGAGACAGAGATAGAGAGGATACAGGATACAGGGAGAGCTCGCCCATCCACTTGGTTTACTCCCCAAATGCTTTTAACAGCCAGGATTGTACTAGGCTGACGCTAGAAGCTAGAAACTCCATCCAGGTCTCATACGTGGGTGGCAGGAACCCAACTACTTGGGCCAGCATCACACATTAACAGGAAGCTGGGATTGGGAGCGGAGCTGGGACTTGGGCACCGGCACTCCGGCATGCGATGTGGATACACCAACAAGCAGTGTCTTGACCGCCGCGTCAAATGCACACCCCTGGGATGCTCTTGCTTCGGCTCCAGTGACTCTCAACCTTCTGACCTCACTTCTGGAAGCCTTCTCTCATTTCCCCTCCCGACCCCACTACTCTCCCGCTTTCTGGCCACCGCTGTCTCCTGCAGTCTAACGCAGGGGCCTGGCACTTAGAGCCCTTCAGTAAATGCTCCATGGATGGACAGACGCATGGATGAAAGTAATAGTGGTTTCTCTCCCTATACAACTCTTCCGCTGGAGACAGGAGGCAGCTCTGCGGTACCCACTGTTTTCCAGGTGAAAGGGCCCCAGACTGCTTCCCCATCAAAATCGCACGAGAACCCAGCAGCAAACTCAGCTTGGTGGTCTTGCTAAAGGCACCTTTTGCATGCCTAGGGAAACTTGAACCTCCCTGAATTACAAATGCATGTGAAAATGGGGTGGGTTGATGCTCCTAAAAGCAAGTTAACTACAGTCCCAGGGCCAATGTGGTCTTAGATTTAAACCCATGCAGCCTTTTCAAGCTGGAGGAGGGCAATAAATAAGCTCTTCTGTTTCGTTTCCAACGAGGGCAGATCTAGAGGAAGGAAGTAGATTACATTGTAGCAGGAGGGATTTAGGTTAGAGATACAGCAGGACTCTCTCCTGGGCTGGCAGGCCAATTAGGACACTACAGAACTCAATCCCACTGCCAAGGCAGCAATGGTTGCTTCTCTTGTGGATCTGTTGCAGGGGCCTTGTTCACCCCTGGAGTCCCAGCTGATCCCAGAAATCAGGGACCCCCTAGATGTGTATGTGCCCAAAGAATGCATGGCCCGTCGGGCTGGGTAGGAGCTGTGGGCTAAGTCTGTGTATGAGCGGGCCTGCCCCTCCTCTGACAGCAGGGGGCCCCAAGAGGCAGGCTCCTCTCCAGCACTCCTCACAGCAGCCCCACCGGTGGGGAAGGCTCCCTGAGCTCCCACCTCGCACCCTTCACGTGAGCACTGTTCCTCTCCAGCTGTCACAGGACAGATGTGGAGGTGTGGGCATCTAGCCTAGGGGTTGAAATGCCAGGTAAGATGTCCGAGTCCCACATCGCGGTGCCAGGCTTTGATTCCTGGGAGGCAGGGGCGATGGCTCAGGTAATTGGGTTCCTGCCACTCGTGTGGGGGACCTCGATTAATTGCAGGCATTTGGGGAGTCAACCAGCGTGGCATTCCATGCTTGCTCTCCTCAAAAGCCTGTTTCTGGGACATTTATGGGACACTGTGATTTATTTAGCACGGCCTTCACCAGGAAATTTTACGAAGCCCCTAGTGTGTGCCAGGCTGGGTGCTAGCAGCCAACGATACAGAGGCGAAGCCAGCAGCCATAGCCACAGTCCCACAGAGCATACAGATGGCACAATGCAGGCCACAGGAGATCGCGCTGGTCCTGAAGAGCCCGAATGTGTTACCCTCAATTCCCTTTTTCTTCCATTGGGAGGAGACTTCCAGACAGGTAGAGATCTAGGGATTGCTTGTTTTGCTCTGCGTGCCCTGTCATGATGCAGTAGAGCCACCAGAGGGCGCCAGAAGAATTCAAACCAGGACTACGCAGTCCCTTCGCTTCTGTCAGGTCTGGAGATTTCAGCTATGATTTCCAAACCTGCCCCCCATTTCCCCAGGTGTCAAAGGCCAAGACTGCTTGACTGGCCAGTCTCAAGACCCACCCCTGGGGCTCCAGGGAACATCGTCTAACAACTGCTGCATCACGCCAGGTTTTCCAATGACTAAATGGCAGGCACAAGCAGGCTGAGTTGATTCTCACCCCAACCCACTTCACTGGCGAGAAAACTGAGACATAAGAACGTTAGGAAGACAGTCTGCCCCAGATCCCAGAGGGGGGACGGTGGAACCCGCATCGAGACACCTGCACTGCTTTTCTGCCTCAAGCAGCCAGCCCTCTATGCTGGACCACGTGGGAGCTGAGCCTCGTCCCCCACTGAGGACAGTGACCCCCAGCGGCAGGGTGGGCAGGCTGGGGAGTCACGAAGGAAGCCCCCGCCCTCACCTCTCTGCTGATGTCCAAGTCATAGTCTTGAGGTTCCAGGTCCAACTCGGTGACAGGCATGGCCTGCACCTTCAACCAGCCATCCTCCTCCTTGTCCTTTCTTTCCCCTTGCACGGCCCGGTCCAGCAACTGCAGGTCAAAGTCCTGCTCGCGCTTCCACTGGCAACAGAACAAGAGGGTTAAGTGCAGTCCTTGCTGACTGCGGACATGGCCGCACCGGTCCCCTGGCGGATGGGCCCGTGGCCCAGTGCTGTGCTGGGAGCGAAGCCTCTGTCCCCCTCACGTGGCCTGCTCCATGTGAACACTGCCCTCCGGTCCAGGCCCCCAGAGTGTTCCACAGGTGTCCGCAGGGCACAGATCTGAGACCCACAGCTTCAGGCTCACAATGGACCCAAGGGAGTTAAAGAGCTTCCAGGTCTAAGAGGGTGACTCCAAAACAGAACCCGGGACAGGACAGCAGGGAAGGCATTGGTCCCTTCTGTTCCAAAGGACTGGGTAAAGCAGGCCCCTTGAGGCCTGCTAAACAAGTGGAATACCCATTTGCCTTTTTTAAAAAGATTTTATTTATTTGAGAGGTAGAGTTACAGAGAAAGATAGAGAGAGAAAGGTCTTCCATCTGCTGGTTCACTCTCCCAAGTGGCTGCAACAGCCGGAGCTGAGCTGATCTGAAACCAGGAGCTTCTTCCAGGTCTCCGGGGTGCAGGGGTCCAAGGACCTGGGCCATCTTCCACTGCTTTCCCAGGCCATAGCAGAGAGCTGGATCAGAAGAGGAGCAATCGGGATATAAACTGGTGCCCATACAGGATGCCAGCGCTGCAGGCAGTGGCTTAGCCAGCTACACCACAGCACCGGCCCCACCCACTTGCCTTTCTATTGGGTATCCCCAACAGGACACAATCTGGGATGGGGGACACTGGGGTAGGGAGCAGGAACAGCTTGGGGCCAGTGAGGCAGACAAAACTGTGGCGTAAAATGGTATCTTATGGGGCCGGCATAGTGGGTTAAGCCACCACCTACAGTGCTGGCATCCCATATGGGCACCCATTTGGGTTAGTCTCAGTTGCTCCACTTCTGATCCAGCTTCCTGCTAACATGCCTAGGAAAGCAGTGGAAGATGGCCCAAGTCCTTGGGCCATGCACCCATGTGGGAGACCCGGAAGAAGCTCCTCGCTTCTGTCTGGTCCAACCCTGGCCATTGCAGCCATTTGAGGAGTGAACCAGCAATGGAAGACCTTTCTGCCTGTAACTCTGCCTTTCAAATAAATAAATAAATAAATCCTTAAAAAATGGTATCTTGAGATGGGTGGTTGCCTTATATTAGGAAAAAACCTAGTTCACATAAAATCGAAATACTATACCAAATGCAGCAGGGTCCAAGGCTGTTTCGCGGTATCAACACTACAACAAGCATCTCTTCACAAGGGGGAAAATCTATCCCAAACATTCTAAGATCCAAGCACAACTGTCCAGTCTCAGGGTGACCTCCTGTTCACCTAGCACCTGTGAGCTCACAAGGGTTTGGGCGCTGAGCAGGTGTTGAGAAGAGAACAGGTTCAAGGCCTTCTCTTGAGCAGGAGCAAGGCGAACACTTACTCATCCCGGGCCTTCTCCTGGCTCGTACCCTGCCCACCCCACAGAGCCCCACCCCAGCAGGCACAGCTGTCTCAGATGCCCCCCCTCCCCGCATTCCTCCCATGCCCCAAACCTCTAGCCATCAGCACATGTCACCCATTCACGCACAAGCTCTCAATAATGACTCTAAACCAACGTTACTGCTCTTGGGTGATGGTTTTCCAACAAGCCTTTGACAGGATTAGGCAGTTGAAATTCCAGGGATGAAAAATTATCTTAATGATTCACAAAGAAAAACGTACATTTTTGTACACGCTCACAAGTGCTCCAAACAGAGAGCAGTCCTCATGTAAACCCAGCCTGATTGTTTCCACAAACAGGAAAGTTCTCTAGACTCTACGAGGCAGCCGGGGAAGAACCACGCCAATCCAGGATTATTAAGCAATTCGTTTATTGGCGCTGACGCAGAGACTTACATGAGTCTTGTTTTCTAAGAGAAAAATGACAAGGAATTCAAATGACGATTCTGAGATAACCTCTACACTGGAGATATCAGGTTGTAAGAGGTGTTACTTCATAGGATATTTGCATACACAGTTTAAAAGTTAGTGGGTTTGCAGCTTTCAATGATATGAGGATCCTGGGTCTTATCCCTTGGGTTTCTAACAGCTGCAGACAGACCCTCTGAATACCTAGTATGTTTTGCTATCTGTTCATGTTATTAAATGTCAGGAACACAAAAGGCTTTCCTTTCCATAAGAAATGACGAGATAGGACTGGAGGAATTAAAACCAAACAACCTCAGACTTGGGAGAACATATTCGCACGTGCAAACTCTGAAGTCCGTGTCTCCTGCCAGCTGTAAGGCATGGATTTTGATCAACTCCTAATGCCCAGACCTCTGCCAATGACTGTGGTCTCCAGGCAGCGGCTCAGCCCAGGCTCGAGGGACGGCTCTGGGCATGAGTGAGTAGGCCTGCGTGGAGGAGGGCGGCGGGAAGGGGAGTCACACGTGGGGGTGCCTGCTAGGCTATGGAGACAAGAGCTGCTATGACAAGCCAGGTAGCACGTAGCACCGGCCAGTTAGAGAACGTTCAGTGCACCAGAAGCGTCTGTAAACACAATCAGGCAAGGATTAGAGAGGCAATGAGCGGTCACACTAAAAGCAAAAGAGCTTGTGCCACGAATTAGGGGGAGAACAGTCAGGCTAGAGGTCTAGGGAAACACGGGATTTCAAACAACACGGAAGAATCACATGGAATGTTTTCAGATGGGATTTAAGGGGGCAGGGCGCAGTGCCAGGAAGCACCTCCAGGGGGCAGCACCGATTTTCCCCCCAGCTGTCCTGGGCCCCCTGGGCCTGTCAGCACCACAGGTTGTGGGCCAGACCCGGCAGCGTGTCCGCAGAGGTCTGGGAGGCTGGTTGATTCGTTTGCGCTTTTCCTCATCAAATCCTATCCCTGTCTTCCTCCTCTACCTCTTGGACCCTGTATTCCCAAATGCTTAATATTCTGTGAGATCCCGGATGCCTGCAAAGGCCCCTGCAAGTTTGGCTCAGAGACCCAACGGGGTATGTGCTCAAAGTCTCTGGCTTCTGCGTGAGTGCTGCTTTCTGGCACTGGTCCCAGGTCCCCTGCTGACCGGGTCACGCACCAGCCCTGTGCGTGTCCTCTCAACCATCCTGGTTAGCCAGTGGCCCACTCGGGGTGTGTCTGGCGAATGTGGGGAGGGTCTGCTCGCCGCACCAGTCCCCCCTGCCTGGCCCCTGCTAACATACTGAGCCCAGGTCCCCGGGGAGCGGGGGGCTGAGGTAGCGCGCCGCGGGCGGGCCTGTCCGCTCTCCTTGGCTCAGCGTCTTCTTGCGCTCACGGACCAGGGCCTTTTGGTGGCGCTTCATGCGCTCCAGCTGCTCCTCGGCGCTCATCCGGCCGCGCGGCTGGTCCCCTGAGTACAGGCGCTCCAAGGCACTCTTGGGTCTCTGAGGAGGGCGAGACACACACAGCGCTGGGCTGCGAGCGGAAGGCGGCCACCCTGCTGGCCCCAGCCCCGTTCTTTGCCCTGCCCTGCCCTTCTCTGGTTGGGCTCCTCTTGGGCACGCAGACCCACCCTGTCTAGGCACCAGGGTGCCCGCGGCCGTCACAGGCTTCCTGGGCAGCACCCCTGCCCAGGTACCAAGGCCCAGGCCCGGCCAGGTGGACACACATGCAACAGGTGCAGACTGCCCGGGCTCCCTCCCGCGACCCTGGCAGGTTGATAGAGGGGTCTCTTGGAAACAGAGAGGGCAGCACGATGCCCTTCTGCAGCCTGGACGCCATCCCAGGGCTCCCGGGGTCAGCCATCGCCTCTCTCTCTGTATGAAGGAGCAGGGAGCCGGCCCCTGGCCAGATCCAGGTCACTCATGGGAAGGTTACCTTGCTGCTGTCGGCATTGAGGCCCCTCTGGAGCGTGACGTAGGGAGCGATGGAGGATGACTGCTGCAGCCTTGACGTGGACCCCGAGAGCCCTTCATGAGCAGAGAGAAACACAAGTCTGCTCTCGGCGGGGTGCACAAGCCACCGTCCCCTCACTAGCCACCCCCTCACGGAGCGCACGGAGCAGGAGAGCAAGGCTGGGGGGTAGAGGAGGGAGCACCAGCTCACAGTGCCTCCTGTCCCCCGGTGGGCTCCCCCTGGACTCCCTTCCCAGGCAGGCGCCCTGGGTTGTGCGCCCTTCTCTGTGCATTCTGCACAACCCAATCCTGGGGGGACAGCAAGGAGAACACCCAACCAGGGAGCAAGCGTGTGGGCTTCAAGAAAGACCCCTCTGAGTCCCAGTGATGCAAAAGGAGAAAGCCGCAGATGGCAAGCTGGCGGCACCCAGCCTGCCCCGGGCACGAGCCCCTGCCTTATCTGTGGCTCCCTCGCTGATCAGCTAACCGGCAAGTGACTCAAACGTCTCGCTAAAGTGGGGATAATAAGTTCTTCCTCCCTAGGACTACCACCAACACCACGTGTATGGAAAGCGCTCGGTCAGTGCCAGGCTGGAGGGTAACTGCTACTGTCGTGGTTCCCGTGGACAGATGAGATCAGAGGGAGAGAGCAAACGTGAGCCGAGGGAGGAGGTCAGGCTGCGGGCAGAAAGGCAGCATGGTGGCTGTGACGGGGCTTCCGAGAGACTCCACGGAGGGGCTGTCTTACCTCTGCCTGGCAGCGTCTGGTACCTGCTCTCGGAGCCCACGAGGCCCAGGGAGGACTGGGCCGCATCCCCGCTGAGGGTGGCCAGCTCAGGCTCGCTGACGTAGGACCGGAGCTCCACCTGTGGGCAATCCTGGGGCGTTACACCTGCCCCATGCCACACCATCTCCCCCACCCCCACACGCGGCTGTGGGCTACCCTCCCGGCTCACCCTCGAGTCCCCGTTCACACACTGCCCCAGCTCCCGGTCCCGCTTCCTCTCATCCGACTGTCGCTTGAGGCCCCGCACGGAAGTGTGCCGGATGATGGTGGCCTCCCTGGGCAGCGGGGGCACAGCCGGCGGCTGGTCCTCGGGGCTGTAGAGCTCAGGGAGGGGCGGCCTGGGAGGTGCCTCGTCTTCCTGCCCAGAGAGAGAATCAGAGCTGGAGAGGGGTGTGGGCAGCCGAAGGCCGGGCCTAGCCGCTTCAGTGACCCCTCCGTCAAGGAGCACAGACAGCTGCCTTGGAGGAGCTGAGGAGAGAGGTGTGTGGAGCAGTGGGTAAAGCCAACACCTGCAACACCAGCACCCCACATGGGTGTGGGTTCAAGTCCTGGCTGCCCCACTTCTGATCCTGCTCCCTGCTAATGTGCCTGGGAAAGCAAAGGAGGATGGCCCAAGTCCTTGGGCCCCTGCACTCCTGACGGAGACCCGAATGGAGTTCCAGGCTCCTGGCTTTGGTCTGGCCCTGCCCTGGCCATTGCTGGGGAATGAATCAGCGGGTGGAAAATCGATCTCTGTCTGTGTTTCTGTCTCTCTCCCTGTAACCCTTCCTTTCAAATACAGTAAATCTTAAAAAAAAAAAAAAAAAAAAAAAAAAAAAAAAAAAAAAAAAGCTGTGAAAAGCAGAGATGCCTCTACTTCATCTCCAGCCTTCACACATTTTAAAATGCTCCCAAGTGTCACCTGCACATCTGCTGTCCCCAAATCCAGAACCCAGGTCTGTGCTCTTGACATTGAGCCAAACTGCTTACTCCACTTACTGGGCATGCAGCAGAGGAGGGGAGGCGCGCTGCTCACTGCGCTCATTTCTAAGTGGGTGCCAGCCCCTCCCGCCTGGAGAGCAAACATCTCTCCCAGTCCGCGTGCTCAGACCAGGGCGGGTCAGCCGGGCACACACTCTGGCTCCCTCAGCAGAGTCCGCCCCGCTCCTGCCCTTCTTATCAGAATGTGCACGGTGACAACACATTTCCTCCTCCCCAACTCCGACAGCAGAGGCAGCCAGGATGGGTGACTCACTGCCTACCATGCGGCCCACTCCCTGGAATGCGATGACGGTAACTGTTCTTCCAGGAACCCCCGTCCGCACGCGCCTGGAAGGCTGCAGGTCATCTCCACGCCAACAGACGGCCCCTCCCACTGGCTGCCACGAACACCCACGAAGGCCATGTGACCCTCCTCGTGGCCCTCCTCCCGGAGTCTAGCTTGGCTTTGTTTTTCGAATCTTGTCGAGTTCAGAAAAAGCAGCCCAAGCTTGCTTTGCAAAAGTTTATCATCATTCTTTTAAAGCAACACACTTCACCGAGGTGGCCAGGTTAAGGTGCCCGCCTGAGACAGCCACAGCCTCTCAGAGGATGGGCAGTAACCAAGCCCAATGGGACACTGGAATCACCGATAGATAAGCAAAACTCACCGACTGTTTCCCATGGAAGCAAACAGAATTTCTGAAGACAGAGGGTGGGAGGGAGGCATTTTATTATGCCTTTTTATTTATCTTTGAGAATATTATCTAATAAAAGATGACGTTAAAGTCAAGACAAGTCAATAAACGTGAAAGAATTATAGCTACATGCAACAGTGTAGATGAATCTCACAAAAAATAATGTGGAAGAAAAGACGCAAAACAGTGCTCTGTGCCGGCGTAATGAGAGTGTTTAGGGTGCAAACACCCATGGGTTGTCGGGCTCAGACGGAAAGTAAAGGAATGACTATCCCCAATGTCCTTGTGGTGGCTGGCACAGTTCTACTCCTTGTCTGAGTACTGGTAGAGCAGGGTGGTCCCTTGATTATTATTTGCTCAATTATGATATTCTGTTTTTGTGTCATTTCCAGCAAGGGTGTCATTGTTTCACAAATGTAAATGTTCAGGGGCCAGCACTGTGGCGTAGTGGGTAAAAGCTGCCGCCTGCAGTGCCGGCATCCCATATGAGTGCTGGTTCTAGTCCCGGCTGCTCCACTTCCAATCCAGCTCTCTGCTGTGGCCTGGGATAGCAGTGGAAGATGGCCCAAGTGCTCGGGCCCCTGCACCCACGTGGGAGACACAGAAGAGGCTCCTGGATCCTGGCTTCAGATCGGCCCAGCTCTGGCCGTTGTGGCCATTTGGAGAGTGAACCAGCAGACAGAACATCTCTGTCTCTCCCTGCCTCCTCTGCCTCTCAAATAAATAAATCAACCTGCAATGGGAAACTGAGGCAGCCCAGGGCAGGAATGGGCCTTGCTGGAAAACACAGTGAGTGCACAAGGACTAGAATCCAAGCACCCCCCTCCCAGCCTTTTCTGTCTGCCCCTCCCCCCCACTGGCAGGCACCTTGCCCTGTGAGAGCAGCCGTCTGCCAGGGTTTGCACCCTCCTGTGTCACCATGGAGGCTCCAGTTGCCTCTCAGATCCGGGGCTGGGAAGAAGATCCCGAGATGGAGGAATTCACAGCAGCTCACAGGCTGAGTCATGGGCTGCACTCTGGGTCCAGCTCTGGGCCGTGGGCGCTGGCTGGAAGCAGGTGGATGGCAGGGCCCAGCACGAGAAGTCCAGGGCTTACCCAGCACAGTGCACTGACCTCAGCAGAGGGCCTACGCTCATATGGTGCCCAGGCCAGGCGCCTCAAAGCCTGTGTCAGCAAAAACCCAGAGCCACCCCCACCATTTTCCAGGGTTCCCACAGCCACAGTTTCTATGTCCTGTGTCTGCCTGGCTCTGGAGGGAGACAGGAGCTGTCATGGTTCCCGAGCACATCTTCGATTTCCTGAAAGTCTCCTGTGCGTTCAGACTCCGCCAAGAGCCTGGACCCTCTCTACGCCTGGGAAGCCAAGGTGTGAGCCCTGGCAACCTCTTGGGCCACAGAGTGTGACCTGGGACTGAAGGTCCAATTAGAGGGTGAATGAGAAGGTTCAGGGATGTGGGTGGATTCCCTAACACCGAGACCGTTAGCAAACGTGAAGAACCTGGAGTTTCAGTTTTCCTGTCTGTGGGATCAGGGACCCCCCCCCCCCATACCTATGCTCCATGAGGGTCTTGCAAAGATCACTGGTGTTCTCAGAGCCAGCACAGCGCTGGGCTGCAGGGAGAGGTACGGATCCTCTTCCCTGGAACCAGCTCCTTGCCTGCAGGCTTGTGTAACTGCAGGAGAGCCCTCTGCAGGTTTGCCTGGAGCTCTGCACGGGGATAGCCTCACCAACAGCCACGGTGCACTCACAGATTCCACCCTACTCAGCACAGTCACTTCTGGCTGGGTCTCAATTTTCCCCACTGCAAAATGGGAGGCTTAGGCGAGGTTACCCCTCAGCGTCCTCCAGGTGCTGTGAGTCTGAGGCCCAATGGCCAGGAAAACACACACTCCCCCTCAACTGCTCACGACTCTGCCTGCCTGCCCCTCCCCAAGCTTTCCCAAGTTTCCTGAGGGAGCGAGCGGGGCGGTCAGTGCGCATAGCTGCTCATCAGGGATACTTACAACGCTGGCCTTGGTCTTGGTTGGTGACTGAAGGGGAGACGTCACTTTCCTCAGCTGGGGTGGGTGAGGTCGGTAGGGCACGTAGGTTTGCAGCTGGGGGAAAAGTCGGACCTCCAGAGGGGTCCGCACAGGGCTGGAGGGAGGGCTGGGCTGCGGGGGCGGCTTGCTCTCCGCCATCGAGAGTGAAGGCACAGGCGGGTGAGGGGACAAAGGCACCGTTTTCCTCTCTAAGGGGCAACAGGGAAACAAAGCATGAGCTGGATGGAACAGAGACCTCCTTCCCTGCAGGACACGAGGGGTGGGGCGATTCAGCACCGTGAAGACCCGCCCCCAGGGCCGTTCCCACTCACCAGGATTTTTGACCGATTCCACCAGGATTCTGAAGTTCTCTTTGTTTGCACTCAGACCTGCAAGGACATCTTCGATCCTCCACAGATCTTTCTGGATCTGCGATTTCTCCTGAGGAAGACAAGGTGGTGGTTCTTTGGCTTCTTGGTACCTTGCCAGAGGCTCCTTCTGAGCACCTGTGCTGGCATTTCTGGTAGAGCCCTCACCCAGGGACCGTACTCCCTGCAGAAACTGCAACTAGGTGGGTGCAGACGCAACAACGCCCAGGCCCAGGGAGGGGTTTCAATGTGGCTGTCACCTGTCCAGCTGTCTGTTTCCATCCAATTTAAAACCAGACTGCCTTAAGTGCCAACATTCTTCAAAGAGTACATGAGAAACGGAATGAAAGGCAAGCTTATTTTGGTGAAAACCACATTTTAAATCCATGCATAAGCATTGACATTGTGGTGCAGCAGGTTAAGCTGCCTCCTAAGATATCAGCATCCCACGAGTGCAGACTCGAGTTCCGGTCACTCTGCTTCCAGTCCAGCTCCCTGGTAATGCGTCTGGGAAAATGGTGGAAGATGGCACAAGTGCTTGGGCCCCTGCCAGGCTCCTGACTTCAGGGGACTCCTGACTTTGGGGCTCCTGGCCCAGCCCCAGTTGTGGCCATTTGGGGAGTGAACCAGCAGGTAGAAGATCTCTCTCTCTCTCCCATTTCTCTCTTTCTCTCTCTTACTCACCCTCCCCCCCCAAATAAATAAAGCAATCCTTTTTCTTTCTTTTTAAAGAAAGTGCAATGAGCACTGGAATGTTATTCAGCCATAAAAAGGAATGTAGAACTAACGTGTATTACAATGTAGATGAACCTTGAAAACACTATGCTGAAGGAAAGAAGCTGAACACCAAATGTCATATAGTGTAGGATTCTGTTTCTACACACTGTCCAGAAGGGCCAATATATAGATACAACACAAAGCAGATCAGTGGTTGCCTAGTGCACAGTGGGTAACAACCACAGAGAGGGAGTTGGGGGAGGGAAAGGAGTGACTTCATGGGTTCAGGGCTTCTTTCAAAGGATGATGAAAATGTTATAAAATTGACCATGGTGATGGCCACACAATGTTGTTAAAAAACTACAGACCACTGAATCACACACTCCCAGAGAGTAGATTTCACAGCATGTGAATTATCTAAGGATACTTCTGAAAGTTTGTGGAAAATAGAATGAAATATGTTTATCTTAATAAAAAAAAAACTGCACCCCATGCATTGCTTTTGTGTAATGCATCTTTCCCATGCACTTTTTGTATAAGAAAGCTCCCCATGTTTGTGCAGAGAGCACAGTGAGAGAAGAAGATGGCAGGAAAAGAGCTAGACTGTGATCACATACACCCCGATAAGTGGCTGCCAATGGGAAGGGCCTGAGAAGAGATGGAGGCGGTCTGGTGTGGTTAAGGACAGTGAGCATCTTTTAACGGGGTCACTTAAGCACCAGATACAGCATGCTTTTGGATTTTTAAGCCATAATGGGGAGGAGAGAGAGCTGTGGTCCCACTCATAGACTGAAAGAGCGGCAGGCTGCACACCATTTCCTGTCAAGGCACCCAGCTACCCCTCAACCGGAGGGATGCTTGGGAGGCAGGAAGAGCCCTCGGCTCACCTGGAAGAAGAAGGCTCTCCTGTGCTGCTCCTGCAGCGCGTGCTTCAGCTGCTCCACGTCACGCTCCAGCTTCAGGTACTCGTTCCAGGCGTTTTCCATCTCCTGTTGGCCAAAGGAATGCTGCTGGCCCCTGGGCCCCAGGATGTCCCACTTGTACCCGTGCTGGTGACCACTGCTGACCCAGCCAGGGGTGGAGGAGGGGACCCGGGGCAGAGGAGGAAAGAGTATGGGCTCTGCTCATTTGCACTCTGACCCTGGTGCCCTTGGCTATGCTTTCATTCCCTGTGCTGGCAAAAAGGCTTGCAAGTCATCAGCCTGACAAATGAACAGGTGGAAATTCTGACACCTTAGAATGAGGGGAATAGACCTGTAGGCTGTTCTGAGAAATCAGGTCCCTTGGGTGTCATCAGCCAGGAACTGCCTACAGAAAGCAGCCTATCACCCAGGTGCAGACAGATGCAGACAAGCTACTGTCAGGATGCAGACTGGAGGAGTCTTGGCTATGCAGACTCTCACCCTTGGCCATTAAGTCAACCTCAGCCCAGCCCATCCTGAAGGGGAGGATCTGTGCCATCCACACCCTCTACATACGGTGGACTCCCTGGAGAGCTCAGCTCGGATGTGGACGAGGTCCTCCTGCAGCAACCTCTGCTGGTAGGCGATCTTCTCCGCGTGCTGGGGCTGGTCCCGGTACTGCTCCATCTGCCTGTGCAACACCTCCAGCACCGACTCCAGCTGGTCCTGCACCAAGGAAGGCCAGAGACAGACAGGCTAGACCCCAAGGCCTCCACCTACCACAGCAGGCAGCAAACAAAGCCAACTAAGGCTGGGGTGGGGTGGGGTCACAGCAGACACGTGGTGAGGGGCCTTCAAAGCTGCTTCTGACTCAGCCCACAGGACAAGTCACCTAACAGTGCTGTGCCTCAGTTTCCCATTTAACTCCTTATCAAATAAATTATGACAAATCAGGTAGTAGAAGGAGAACTCGCTAAGTCCTTGGGGAAAGGGATGAGCTATTATTCTTCAGCATCCCAGTCTTACTGAAATGCAAAAAGAGAGAGACCAAACGTTGGCGGCCCGACGTTTTTTTTGTTTGTTTGTTTGTTTTGGTTTTTTTTCTCTTTTTTTTCTTTTTTGACAGGCAGAGTGGACAGTGAGAGAGAGAGACAGAGAGAAAGGTCTTCCTTTTGCCGTTGGTTCACCCTCTAATAGCCACCACGGCCGGCGCGCTGTGGCCGGCGTACCGCGCTGATCCGATGGCAGGAGCCAGGTACTTCTCCTGGTCTCCCATGGGGTGCAGGGCCCAAGCACCTGGGCCATCCTCCACTGCACTCCCTGGCCACAGCAGAGAGCTGGCCTGGAAGAGGGGCAACCGGGACAGAATCCAGCGCCCCGACCGGGACTAGAACCCGGTGTGCCAGCGCCGCAAGGCGGAGGATTAGCCTAGTGAACCGTGGTGCCGGCGGCGGCCCGATGTTTAATCCTATCTTTCCATCCGGATTTGCCACCTCCATGGCCCAGGTTCAGAAAGAAGGAGCTTTAGGAAGTGAGCTGGTGCAACTGTAGCCAAGACCTCCAGGCTCCACCACAGGGCCTCCAAGAAGAGGTGGGCCAGAGTGGAACTGAGGCAAGGGCAATATTAGACTAAGCAGCCTGGGAATGCCCTGAAGGTCTTCTCCAGGTCCAGCTAGAAACACACATAAAGCACCTTTCAAATGCAAAGTTATTGCTCTGGGTAAACTAACCTGAGTTGTTCAATACTAACATGAGTCCAGGCTATGTCTTAGGAAAGAAGACAGAATGCCCCCCACCCTCCACCCCATGCCACAGCTCTGCAAAAAACTGAAGCGCACTTTGTTTTCCTTGAGAGCCCGAATCTTGTCTTCCAAGTCCTGGAGGATCCTGTCTTGTTCGCAGAAGACGCTCAGTTTGACCTATAGGCGAGAACAGGTTGGAGAGGAGCTGAGAGGATGCCTCGGGGAGTGAGATCAGAATGACTCTGGCCACAGAATCGTCCAGACCCTGTGGGTCGGGGGCAGCTGAGGCAGCAGCCTGTCCCTCCGCTTACTCACATCAATGTCACTCTCAGCGATCTTCATAGGCTTTAGGCTTCGGTCCTTGAGAAGGTCCCGGCCTGTCATCTGGGAGGTGAATAATGTAAAAGAGACTTAGCCACGGTGTTCGGGAGCAGATCTCAGGAAGGAAGGTCAGCCTTACGAGGGGTGGGAGTCTCAGCAGTGGCAAGTAGGAGTGTGGCGTGAAAGGGGCAAGAATGCGAGCAGGAGCTGCTTTATTTCTTTGCCGATTTCATTTTAAGGTAAAACCAGTACCTTTCTGAGATCCTAGCACTCGTAAACCTCTCAAAATAAAGAAAACATGAACGTTCAAGTTACAGGGTCGTCAGTTTTGGAAGAATTTATTGATAAGCTCAAAGTGAGCACGATTAATCAGTATGGCTCTTGGAAGATTTGCCACTGGTAAGACAGAGGTGCGCTCCTGAGCCTGGGGACAAACACGGATCACAGAAGCCCATCTCCCACTGCCCAGGTGTGCCAGGACGAACGAGGGGATCTCCAGGCTTCTGTCAAGCCTTGGTTTAGGGAGTCTGAGCAGCCCACCTCCCTGTGAAGGAGCCCTCCTCACCCTGCCCCCGTGGGGAAGAAGAACCCGGCTCATTCCTGATTGGGGTTTTCACCTGACATTGAGTAACCGAGGCTAGGCTGTTCTTACTGAAGTTACAGGTTACCTTGTCGTCTCAAGAAAGGAAACCACAGAGCGATAAGTCACCCAAACTTAGGGGCCAATGGAATTTCCCATTTCCCACCCTTTTCACCTGACTCCGAGTGGACAATCAAATGTCCATCTCTCACTGACCCCTAAGCCGCTAAACCCAGCTCTTTACCCCAGGGTTCATTTTCCCCCAACTTCCCTCCTAGCAAAAGCTGTGCATGGGCAGAGGGGGTGGCCTCTTTTAAACAGACGCACCTTCACGGCCAAGACAAGGCCAGGGTTGGCCTGGGCTAAGGAGCCCCAGACAGGGCACTCCATCTCCCTGACCTCCACAGCAGAGAGAGGTGGTAAGTGTGCTCTGCAGAGGGTCCCAGGGTGTACAGACAGAGAACTGCTGCACAGACAGCCTGTGCTCTCCCCTACCCAATTTGGGAAGCCCCCTAAACTTGTGAACATGAATGTGGGGCAGAAGCATATGGGCAAACACTGCACTCAAACAGCTCAAGCCAACCACAAGTCCAGCCGTCCCGCTGTGTTCCGTCTCCTTGAGAATCAGCAGCAGCAAACCCAAAGGTCAAAGAAAAAGGAGAATGACCTCTCCACACGTGGGCTGCAGACACACCCCACCCACCCCCGTGGTCCCATGTAGAGGGCAGGGGTCACCCCCTTATTGATCTTGGGCCCTGAACATGAGGCCCAGCACAAGGGAAGACACTCCACAGATGCTTATTGAACTGCATGTAGGACAACGGGCAATACACATAGGTCAGTGTTGGGTTCCAGGAGAAATCAGAACTCCAGCCAAATTCCGCTCTTCAAACCGGCAGATGATGTGTACATACAAGAATACACAACAGTACACGACACAGGGACTCCCACAACCATCCACGGACACACCGTGCCATCCCCTGCTGTGAGGGGAGCAGGAGGGGGAGGGGGACATGGAATTCACCCACACAGCTGAGCTTCCAGGTAGTACTTGGGCTTGACACTCAGGGCAACCCCAGAGAAGCACTGGTGTAAGTAGTGAGCCCGGCGCCCTACGTCACGGTCCTCTCCTTGCCGACCCTGCACATGGGCTGACCGTGGCTCACTGCCTAGATAGAAACCACTTTCAAATCGAGACATGCTTTGGGGATTTTGCCCCTCAGCAACACTCTTCCTCTAGTTCCTGGAAGCTTTTTATAGCAGATTATCTTTTTGATGCTTAAACAACAAGGCAGAGAATCTAATTGAGCAATGCCTCATTTATCCAGCATCATCAGGAAAGAAATGAGATACTCCACACACGAACAAGGGCCTTTGGAGAAAGCTGAATCTTCTACACGAAGCTCTCTGATGGAAAGCTTTCTAAAACATGCCCTTTGCTGCTGGTACACACTTAACCTTTTTCTCTTTTTCATAGGTTTCTGGCACTCCCTACAATGCACTGCTTCCAAGGTGCTGTGAGTGAGGAATCGAAGCACCAAAAGCTCAGCAGAGCCCAGGCACTGATGGCGCTACCCTCCCTTTAACTGCCTTGATGCCCAGCACAGCGCTCCTACCATGCATGGTGCACGTGAGATCGCAGCGGTCCCTTGCCTCCCCTCGCTAGCAGTGAGTGTGGGGACCATGACGTACCCTCTCCGTAACCTCAAAGCCTGGCCAGGGCCTGGCACATGAGGATGGTTCTGGAAAGGCCTGCCCTGTGAGCCTGTGAACATCTCAGAATGAGGGGACCTGGCTCTGCTTCCCCCGGAGGAAGGCCTTGGGCTGCAGAGCAGGGCTTTGTGGCTGCTGTTCACACAGCTTCTGCATTCAGCTCCCTTCCAGAGGCTACCAGAAAACACTATACCTCCAGGACTTCTACCTCTGATTTTCCTTTCCGCGCTGTGCTCTTTGGACAGCAATATTTAAATCCATTTAAAGCACTGTGGGCCACTTGCCCCCAGCATCCCTGAAGGCAGACAAAGTGAAAGGGCGTGGGTATCCACTGATGCGGGGAAGGGGCTGTTTTGGTCTCCCCTAGAAACATTCACATCCTGCCCCGGAGAAAAGCCACCTGCATCCCAGAGTCACGGCCGCCCCCTCCCGGGAACCTCCTGCTCAGCTCTGTCTGGTGAGCCCTGGCCATGGAGGCAGACAAGCGTGAATGGAAACACAACACGAGCCGGTGGCAAGCCAGGCAAGCGACCCCACCCCTCGGCAGCACACAACACAGAGTCACAGAACACCACGGATGACGGGCTTAGCCTGGTGCATCGGCCCGAATGCTAAGGAGAGCTTCAGTTTAAGGAAGATAAACCAAAATGACTTGCGGGAAGCCTGGGGCGATCAGGAGAGCGACTGGTTAAGCAAGTGATGGAGTCGGCACTGAGCCAGAAGCAATGGAATGGCCCGCTCCGAGACCCGGATCAGATCATCTTACGCTCCTCCTGGGCCGACAGCCCCGTGCTGACTTCTTCAGCACTTTGTAAAGCACGTTGATCAAAGGCTCATTATTTTTAATCTGTTCCAAACAAAAAGGCAAATACAACAAAATGTAACAGGTGAGACACCGAACGACACTTGAAGCAGCCAGAATTTGGGGAACTGGCCCAGGGGAAGCTGGAAGGAGGCCGTGGGCTGTGCTCTTAACCCAGTCTGAAACCTGGTAATGCTGGTCCCAGGGCAGCGCCTTCCCGACCCTCCCCGAGAAGGGACCTATTTGCTCGATGCCAAGGGCTCCGTGCACAGGCTGGCTGATGTGCAAGAGCCAACCTCAGTGCCTGCTTCCTTCCTGGCTCCGCTGCAGGGGCTGGGCAGCATCACAGAAGAGACCTTTGCTTCCCCTTTTTCCTCCCTCGTCACCCTTGGAGAGTGCAGGGTGGAGCGGCGCCTTCATGTATTTCCTGTCCAGACCCTCACCTCCACACCTGTGATGCATTTAAATTATTGCATCTTTTTTTTTTTTTTTTATTTTTTGACAAGCAGAGTGGACAGTGAGAAAGACAGAAAGGGCTTCCTTTTTCCGTTGGTTCACCCCGCAGTGGCTGCTGTGGCTGGCACGCTGCAGCCGGCGCACCGCGCTGATCCAAAGCCAGGAGCCAGGTGCTTCTCCTGGTCTCCCATGCGGGTGCAGGGCCCAAGCACTTGGGCCATCCTCCACTGCACTCCCGGGCCACAGCAGAGAGCTGGCCTGGAAGAGGGGCAACCGGGACAGAATCCGGTGCCCCAACCGGGACTAGAACACAGGGTGCTGGCACTGCAGGCAGAGGATTAGCCAAGTGAGCCGCGGTGTCGGCCAAATTATTACATCTTACCAATGCTCTCGGATGCTTCCAGCTTCTGTCACATACCACCGTCTCCACCCTCTAGGACGGTGCATTTCAACCTTGACTGAATACCAGAGCCACCTGGGGTCCTTTCCAAAACACTGATGCCTGAGTCCCACTCGAAGACATCTTGCTATAAGTGGTCTGGGATGGAACCTGGGCATCAGGGTTCTTAGAAGCCCCTGTGTTTCTAACATGTGCCAGGAGTGAGAGCAGCTGCTCCAAACAAAGGCCTTAAACTGTAGTGTGCATCAGAGTCACCTGGAGGGCTTGTTAATACCTAGATGTGCCGGGCCCCACCTCCGGAGGTTCTTACTGAGCAGGCCTGGGGTGAGACCCAAGATTTGCATTTCTTTTTTTTTTCTTTAAAGATTTATTTTATTTGTTTGAAAGAGTTACAGAGAGAGGTAGAGACAGAGAGAAAGGTCTTCCATCCGCCGGTTCACTCCCCAGATGGCCACAAGGGCCGGAGCTGTACCGATCCGAAGCCAGAAGCTACGAGACTCTTCCTGGTCTCCCATGCAGGTGCAGGGGCTCAAGGACTTGGGCCATCTTCTACTGCTATCCCAGACCACAGCAGAGAGCTGGATCGGAAGAGGAGCAGCCAGGACTAGAACCAGCGCCCATATGGGATGCCGGTGCTTCAGGCCAGAGCGTTAACCCGCTGTGCCACAGATTTGCATTTTTAATAAATTCTTAGTTATCACAGATGTTCCTGATTTGGGGACCACACTTTGAGAACCAAAACAATGGTTTTGTTTTTTAGATTTATTTGAAAAGCAGAGTTATAGAAACACAGAGAGAAAGAGAGAGAGAGAGAGAAAGAAATAAAATGTCTTCCATCTGTTGGTTCACTCTCCAAATGGCCTCAATGGCTGGGGTTAGCCATAAAGGAGCCAGAGGCCAGGAACTCCATTCAAGCCCCCCATGTAGGTGGCAGGGGCTCACTGACTTGGGCCATCTTCTGCTGCTTTCCCAGGTAAATTAGCAGGGAGCTGGATCAGAAGTGGAGCAGCTGGGACTCGAATCAGTGTCCATATAGGATGCCAATATTGCAGGGAGCAGCTTAACTGGCTATTTCACAAAGCCAGCCCTCAAAACAATGTTTTTAATCCTGGCTGCAGATTGGGGACAACTAAGGAGTTTGTTGTTTTCTAAGAGCAATATCTGAATATTATATTAAGTCACAGCCACTTAGCAGTAAAACTCAAGCATCTTTACTCATTTTAAAACACCCCCCCCCCCAAGTAGTTCTTCACGGTCAGGGTTAATCTCCACTCCAGAACAAGAGTCCTCCAATTTAGTGTGCAAAGAAGCACCCTAGCACTTGATAAAGATGCTAAACTCCAGGCACCAGAGGTTCTAATGCAATGGAACACTCCAGATTTGCATTTTTTTAAACTCGAGCTCCCATGTGATCCCATAGGAGGTGGGCATCCATATCACAAACTAAGTCACTCCCAGCTCCAGAAGCTGATGGTGGAGATAGACTCTGAACAGAGAAGTCTTGATCTCAGGTTCAAACCATCAGGAAGATTCCAGAGCCCAACAGACCTGGAGCCCCAGCAGGCACTGGCATCTCTGGGGATGACCACTACTTTACCCACCTACCAAGGCACCACCTGAGTGGCCACAGATGCCAACCTCCACTTCATGGTCCCAGGTGTGCTTCACAGCTATAGAAACACAGCTCAAGCTGTCAACAACAGTGAGCCCCTAACCCCATTCTTCTGACCCTGCTGGGGTGCGGGCTCTAAAGTGCAGAACTTCTGTGCTGGAAACACAGCATCATGAACACAACTTCAGGGTGGGCAAAGCACTGGCATATGCAAAAAAGAAGGCAGCTGCAAAGGCAGACGCCGGTTCAAATCCTCGTTGTGCAAATTTGCAGAAGTCCCTTAACTTCTCTGATACTTGGGCCCCTGGTCTGTAAGACAGGGATAATGATTTCCATTACTCAGGGCTGCTGGGAGGATTCAAGAAGACAAATGAATGTCAAGTGCCCAAACACCACTAGGCAGGAACAGAAGCCTAGTGAGTCCATGTGGAGCCCTTTTCACACCGGCAGCACCAAAGAAAATGCCAGAGAAGCAAACATTTCCCAACACACACATTAGTCAGGGCATCTTTGAAGAGAGTGGTGGGTGCCTTGGCATGACTGCTAGGCACCATGGCAGGAATGCTCCTTGGCAGAGAAGAAGTTCTGTAGGGGGAGGCAAGCTCCACACTGATTCTGGCAGCAGAGCCTCAGTGGACCAGAGAGATGGACTCTGGATCCTTAAGACCTTGGCCTTTGGGACAGGGACACGGGGGATCCTAAGCCAACAAGGCAAGTGAAAGGGTCAGCAGGTCAGAAGCCAGACAGGAAAATGATCCTTCCTCAGAGAGGCTTATCTTGTGCCCCAAGGACCTATCACTCACCCCACTCAATGTCATCTGCCTCAGTGGTACCCAGAGACAGGGAGTTCACCACATCCAGAGTCCTGTCAGAAAAGCCTTTCTCCAGATCCAGCATTTTGACATAGCAGGTTAAGCTGCCACCTGCAACATCTGCATCCCATATGGGCGCCGGTTTGATTCCCGGCTACTCTGCTTCCAATCCAGCTCCCTGCTAATGTACCTGGAAAGCAGCAGCAGATGGCCCAAGTGCTGGGGCTCCTGCATCCATGTGAGAGACCCAGAAGAAGTTCTTGTCTCCTGGCTTCAGACTGGCTCAGTCCTAGCTGTTGCGGCCATCTGGGGAGTGAGCCAGTGGATGGAAGACAACCTCTCCGTGCCCCACCCCCAGTAACTCTTTCAAACAAACAAATCTTAAAAAACAAACAAACAAACAAACAAAAGGTCTTTCTCCCTCTAAAGTGAAAGCACTCTGGGGTGGCAGCCATCCACTTGCCTTAATGTCCCCATGGGCCTAACACAGCAGAGCTCGACACAGCTGTCTCTCCTGGATTGTCCCTGCCTCCTTCACCCACCCTGCACTGGAGCTGTGCTACCTGCGTTGGGTTTCCTTATTCCCCACAATCTCTTTTCTCCTTAGGAAACTCTTCCTTTCAGGCACGGGGATGCTGGGAAGGAAAGGAGGCATCCCTGTCCTGCAGGAGAGGAGGCTGGCACACCCAAGGAAGGAGAACGGTAACAATGTAGCCTGAGCCCCCAGGACTCAGCTCCTGGCAACAAGAACCGGCATGCTCCCCTTCGACTTGGCAAGTTGATTTGGGTTGTGGATATCTGCAAACAAAAGCATCCCACCTAACACTCCAAACCATGGTTCTACAAGCCCTCAACACCTCTCCCCCAATTCTAGCCCTTCCCTGGTCTGGAGCCTGCAGTGGGACACCCATGTGGGAAGCCTACACCTCAGCTGGGTCTGAGCAGGGCAGAGCAGGCCTCCTGCCTCTCTCCAAGGGAGGCCCAGGAGTGCCGGCCTCACCGGCAGCCACGTCAGACCGAGGACACACATACACACACACACACAGCATCTTTGCCCATGTGCAATGCAGGAGTGCCAGTCTGCGTGGGGGCCCCGCATGCCAGCATGGTTCCTTCAGAGGGCCAGTTCTTCTGCAGGAGCTTAACAACTGAAGCAGCAGCTCCAACACCAGGGGAATTTTGCGGACGACACAGCTACTTGCCGTGACAAACGAGGACAACTTCCACAAAACCCAGTCACAAGGTGGCGTTCTGATCGCACCGGGTACCTCGCTAGTCAAACGCAGCTCACCTGCCTCCACCCCACCAGGCACGTTTCTGGGCAAATGACCCAAGCACGGCTCCGTAACAAACCGCACAGGTTTGAATCCACAGTCGTGGAAGCAACCCTTTAAGGTGATAAAGCGCGTGAGCTTTGGAGTCACCCAAATACCACCCTGGACCTGCTTACGTGGCCCTGGACGGTAATTCAGCTCCCCGAGCCTCGGTCAGGGTAAAGATGACAGCATGGCCTCCCTTGCAGGGCCAGCGTAAGGGCAGCGGAACATAGCGAGCAGCACACGTTCCACCCCCACTGTTTTGAAGCTTTGCTGGAGTCAGGACACACACAGGGGCGCCTCGTCCTGCTCTGCTCTCCTCAGCCTCTGTTTCTCCCTAGTCCCTCAGAACTCAAATTCGACATTTCTAAAATAAACCTGAGGGGGGTTGTGTCATCACATTCAAGCAGGAAGAAGACAGATCTTTCCTCCTGCTCCGGCTTAGGCGCTACAGTTAAGTCCTCACTGCACCGTGTACCGCTGTGGGACACCTGTGCTGCTGGGGCCCGGGTATGCTGCGGCTGCACATGGGCCAGCTGCTGACTGCTGGGCCCCAGGACTGGGGTGAAAACGGCTGGGCAGGCAGCACCAGGATGGGCTGTTGGGGACCCAAGGATGGGGACATGGGGCTGCATGCGACAGGGGCTGGGGTTCTTCTCTCCATGGGGACGAGGAGCACTTGCCTGTCCCAGCAGGATGCAGGATGGTGGGCTGGGCCACAGAGCCACATCTGAGCACTTTGAGTCCTGTGGTCTTGCCATCTTACTCACTTGCACTGTGTGACTTCACTGCTGTGTAAACTAGAAATCATCCTGGCCTTGAGATAACTCTCTTTATCTACCTCATGTCCTGTCTGATTTTTTGCTTACCGAGCCTTCTTTCACAAAGTCCAAGATGCAATCAGGGGCCTACGTGACCTGTCTCCACCTCCCCTCCCAGGCCCTAGCCACACCACTGCTCCCTCCCTTTAACCTCTACCAAACCCACCTTTCTGGCTCTTCAGGGCTTGACCCCCATGCCTCCTCCTCCCAGAAGCCAGCCCAGTATTCTCACCCACACTGCTTCCAATCATCCCTGTTCTGGGAGCTGAGCCAAACAGGTCTTTGCACAGTCACTGACACACTTCTGTCATTTGGGGCTGCTGTCTGACCCAACCGGGGCTGTGGGGGAGTTTCTGAAGACCAGGGAGCCTCAATGTTTCTCTTGCATCTTCCTGGGTCTCTGTAGTGCTGGGGACACTGCCAAGAGCTCAACAGATAACCCAAGTGAGCTGGTTGATTCAAACCAAAAGCCCTGATTTTGCCTCTACCCTGGGAGACCACCCCCCCCACCCCCATCTGCTGCCTTAGGTCCTAATGCTCATAGCTCTGCTTCCTGGTAGCGGGATGAGATCCTTGCGTACGTGGGGCTTCAAGGAGCCCCCGGGCCCCTCCCTCCCTCTCGTACCCACTGTGGGTCAGAGGTCACATTCCTTCGGGCCGGCTCATGGCTCAGGCACAGGGGTTGTCCTTTACCATGAGTGCTTGCAGACTGCCGTGGGCAGGGTACAGCCGCAGCTCCCCTTGGGACAGAACGCCTCTCACTGCCACAGGAGGCTTCTGGGCACTCTTTGTGCTTCGAAGGCTGTTTTTGATCCTAGGGCCTTATGACCTTGGTGGGGTACCCAGGGTTCCTCTCCTGGGACCTAAACAGAGGTAGGAGGCCACCGATGGGCCTCAAAGCCACGTGATTCCACGTGGACCTTGCTCCCTAAGCAACAGCATCAGAGTCTACCAAGTCACTGTGGCTGAACACATACATGGATGGCTGCCTGCAAACCAGACACGTGCCCCGCCCCCACGGGAGGCCCCTAAAACAGAACCGGTCATTTTTAGAAGCATCTTTTGGTTCTGACCCAGGGAAGGAAGAGTTCGAGTTCATGTACGCTCCTCTTGGAAGCCAGAGACCTCACAGCAAAATCCACAAGGAACTGGAAAGGAGAGTTTGAGGTTGTAAGAAGCAAAACTGCTCTGATTCAGAATGGCTTCATCCGGGAGCCAGCTCCAATCAGGCCTGGCTGGCCTTGGTGACACTCCCAGACAGGCCAGTGTCCGAGGAAGGCAGGACCCCCAACACCACTCACCTTTAGATCCAGGTACTCCAGGTCTTTCTTCAGCTGGAGGTAGGTATCGTCAGCCTTCAAAATGAAGCAGGAAAAAGGGGGAAAGTGGTCATGAACATCCAAGGTTTCCTAACTCAGGGCTTCGTGTATGAGTCACTAATACTGCACAGCTTTGGGGACAAAGAACCACAGCAGACCAACACACCGGGGGGCCATGGAGGAAGCACAAACGTCTTGGTGCAGCTCAGAGCCCTCTGTAGCACAGCCGATCCTGCAGGTCACTGTGGGGAAGCCAGCTGGGCCCCTCATCAGCTGGGGCGAGGGGTGGGTGGGGAGGACCCCACTGCAGGGCTGGGGCAGCTATGCAGCTATGCAGCTGAGGCAGAAGCTGGGCTCCTGAGACAGAATGAGGTCTACCCGGAAGCACACATGCCACGCTTGGGCTACTGTCCCCTCAGTCACTCCTGCTCCACCATCAGAGGGGATCGCTTCTCGTGCATCAAGTTAGAAGACCTGACTGGGGTGGATGGGACCAGGAAGATCAGCTGGGCGACCCAAAAGGTCATAGTGTGACCTTGGGTTCCAGCAGCTGCTGGAGGGTTCCTGGAAATCTGGGCTTTTTTGGTCAGCATGGAGCCAGTGTGGCTGTGTCAGGAGCTACTTGAGAAGTCCAGGGTCAGACCTATCTGTTGCAGCCGCCCGGTCAAGTTCTTCCCGTGTCACTCACTACCGGCAACAGTGAAAACCATGGAAGCCTTTGATTTTCCAGAACTCCTGCTCTCCTGTGGAGTAGGTCACAGATGCTGGGAGACACAGGGAGGGGCTGCCCAAGTGTAAGGCCCAGACACCACTTCCTCAGTGGACAAAGGGGTCTCCCAGCCAAGCCAGATAGAGCAGGGAAGGGTGGTCCTTGTTAGTAGCTCTGATGCAAACTAATCCCACAGTCCAGCCCTGGGGGCAGTGCAGGCTGCACTTTTAGGCATCAGAGGGCTTGCAGATCCATCATTAGGGACACTGGTAGCTTGCAAGGCCTGACTTCTGTCCTTAAATGGTCCCCCAACCCATTCCAATGTCCCCAATGAGCCCAGTCCCTCCACACTTTGCATAGGAGTAAGAAGCACAGAGCCAAGGGATGTTTCGAGAAATCACCCAAGTTCACAGCTTTTGGTTTGTGCACCTGTCCTCTTTTCCTGAATACACGTCCCGAGTCCCTCAGGTCTCACTAAAACAGGACAGGGAAGGAAGTGGCAGTCCTGTCACCCTCCTCATGTGTCCCTGCCTATCTCTGTGCCACCCGGAGGGGCCAGCTCATGGGGCTGGACCTCCCCTACCTGAGGACAACAACCTCACTAGGGCTTCAGATTCTTTGTGCTGTCTGAGGTGTCCTGGACAGCACCGCCCCACTGGTCCCCTGGGAGCCTGTCCATGAAGTCCGACGTCCTGGCCATGGCCGAGAACACTGGACACAGGTTCCTCCAGCCTGAGGGCCTTTGGCTGAGGGAACCCAGGCAAGCAGCCTCCCCTTCCCAGATGTGTGCCCTGTGTATGCTAATGGCCCCCACCCTACCTACCCCTTCCCAGGTTCCTGTGAGACAAGAAGTCCTTTGTCAGCCAGCAGTGCACTCTCCAAAAAAAGGCAGCACCTGCATTCCCCCTCCAGGATGCCCTGCACGTGTCCTCAGCATCCCAGGAGAGCCCACAGTGGCCACAGGCCTGACAGCTGGCAAAGCCGCTTGGACGTGACCACACAACCAGCCTGGCAGTCATGACATACACACAGAGAAGCCACAGGCCAGGTCTCCCACACCCCATGCAGCCCCTCCCCGGCAACCCAAGGGGTGGCACAGCCACCACCACACAGCATCTGGCAGTAGCAGCCAGAAGCAAACAGGCAGGGCATGAGGGCAGGAGCCAGGAAGCGACTATAGACCAGAGTGCAGGACGAGGGAACACGGGCCAACATGTCACTCCCTGCCCCGGGCCCGAGAGCCCACCAGCGCTGACCTGGCAGGAGGGAAAGGTCAGCTGGTGCTGCAGTAGCTGGCCCACGGCGAAATTCCGCACGCTGGCCAACTCGGCCTGGTGCCGCCGTAGCCGGGTGAGAAGCAGCGAGAGCTCCTCCAGCTGCAGGTGTGTAGACACATCGGGAAGACACCAGTCACGGCGGGGGCACAACGGCACAGGTGCACGCCTCACCCCACACCGCTCAGCGGCGGCTGCATTCGCTCCGTCATGAGGACAAATAAAGGGGCTGGCAGCAAAGGAGCTGCCCGAGGTCGTTTGTGTCAGGCAAGCAGCCGCCAGCAGTGCGGCCTCAACCAGACTGCAGCTTTGAAGATGGTTAACTCATCCAAGAAAGGACGGAAGCAGAAAGGAGACAGACGAGGGGGAGAAATGCAAAAACCCTGCTGGCAGAATTCTACTTGAAAGAGAAAACCAGCCCAGCATTCTGCTGCACCACCCCCTGCCCCCATGGGAGGACCTGGTGCCAGCTGGTGACCCTTCTCTGAGCATCGGCTTCCTGTGCTGTAAGAGAGGTTGACAGCTGCCCTGTGGACTGTATCTGCCCGGCCCAGGGGGAGGGAAAACCCAATGAGCTAGGATCCTATAGGGTGTCCCACGTGGGCCACCTGAAGGAGGTGATGAGGAACCGCTTACATACCGATTTCCCGTGTAAACTGGGAGCGCTGACAGTGTGGGTCATGTAACCCATGGAGGGCATGGAGCGCCGGTCCAAGTGAGTGGAGTTCTGCAGACAACAAGACAGGAGGTCACACCAAGCGCCAGGCTGGGGCCAGAGCTCAGCCTACTCACTCCCAGGGCAGCCACCACCACATGCCATGTTCTCAGCCTCAGGCTCCTATCTGTACAACAGGGACCTGCCCTTCCTCCCTGGGTTATACCACAATAAACTGCACAAGCCCCTTAGAAAGTTAAGACTCAGGTTGGGTGGGGCTGGCATTGTGGTACAGTGGGTGAGGCTGCTGCCTGCGATGCTGACATCCCATATGGGTCCTGGCTCATGTCCTGGCTGCTCCACTTCCAATCCAGCTCCCTGTTAATGCTCCTGGGAAAAGTGGCAGAAGATGGCTCAAGTGCTAGGGCCCCTGCACCTATGTGGGAGACCTGGAGGAAGCTATTGGCTATTGACTCCTGGCTCCAGCCTGGTCCAGCACTGGCTGTTGCAGCCATCTGGGGAATGAACCAGTGGAGGAGAGATCTCTGTCTCTCCCTTGCTCTATGTAACTCTCCCTTTCCAATAAGCAAGAAAAATATTTTCAAAAAGACTTAAATTGAGTTGCTGATTGAAATCTCTTCCTGCCTTCCAAGCTGCAAGTGTGCAGACTTCTAATTGTGTGACCCTGTGCAAGGTACTTTGTTTCTCAACAACTCAGAGCTCCCATCTGTGAAATGGGTGTAATCATGGAACTACATCATAGGGTTGGGAAAAGAACTGAAGTCAAACCATTAGAACTGCACCTGGCACCTAAAAGTACTGCTGAAATGTTAGCAGCCATTATTGCTCCAAATTGCACAAATCTGTGTTCAAAAGGTGAGGCTCTGGGTGCCTTGATGTGGGTCCCAGGAGCCTGGCAGAGCTTCCCGAGCCTCACCTTGGTGGGGTGCCCCCGTGCCTTCCTGGGAGAACCACCAAGAGAGATGTCCACACTCCTCCTCTGGTCCGGTGGCTTCACGGTGACCCTCTCTGCTGGTGTGTGTGGCCTCCGGGGCGGAAAGACCCTTGGGGGTCCTGGGGGAGGGATGTCCGAGGGCGAAGGAGGGACGGAGATGGAGCGGGGCACCTCCAGCATGCTCCTGCTCCGGCCCTGGTCACTGAACTCCGGGGAGCCAGCACAGATGGGCGCCGTGGGGCTGCCGTGCCGGAACTGCTGGCGCTGCTGCCACTCGTACAGCTGCCACACGGTGCCATCCCGGTGCGCCCGGCGCTCCTCGCTGGACATCTTCAGGTGGCTGGCTCGGTCCTGGGCATACTTGTAGTCACTGGGCAGGTTGCGGGGAGGTGGCGAGGAGCTCCCCGAGGGGTGCCGGGTGCTCTTGGGAAGAGTCTGGTAGCTTTCCGGGAAGGACAGGGACTGGCTAGGGCCCTGCCGCGGCAGCGTCTGATCCAAAGGCAGGCTGGGGAGAGAGGGGATGGACGAGTCAGGCCACCAAGCCAGGGATCAGCCAGGCCTTGGTGGACTCAGCGTGATCAATGCACAAAGCTGGCCATGGTGGGGAGTCCCATCAAAGCCCAGAATGATCCAGGCAGTGCCTAGGGCCACAGCCGCTTCCCCTTTCTGCAGAAGACCCCAAAACCCCTTTTCTCTGGCAGTCCCTGTGCTGGGACGACCTGGCTGCCCCCTACCCATCACCTTCCAGGCCCTGTGATTACCCCACCCTGCTCCCACCAGTCGTGAGCTCCTCCAAGGGATGAGCACATTGCTGGGAAAGCATTACCCCCATGGCCCCTTGCCTGGAATGCGAGCACCAAGCACCAGAGGTTCTTACAGACCTCTCCTTCGTCTACTACTCCGGTCCAGAGACTGACCGACTGCCTGCCCAGACAGCTCTGAGTCCCTGCAAACTCATTTTCACCCTGTCCACCGACCACTGCTCTGATCCTACCACTCTCTTGCTCCAGACCTTCTTGCCTTCCAGCCGCTTATGCAATAAAATCCAGTCCTGTCCAGCTCTCGTCCTCAACTCATGGTTGCCACCCTGCTGTTTTCTTACTGCTACTCCCTCCATGGCCAGGACGAGGCTGGGGCAAGCCAGGCACCCAGGGCTCAGATCTAAGGGTGTCCCCACCTCGGGTGCATCCTTCCATTTGCCGGAGCCTGAGGGTGAGCCTCACCCCAGTCCCGGACCAGCCTCCTCCACACCCAAGCAACTTCTCATGGTGGGAAAGCAGAGGTAGGTCATCTGACCCAAGTGTGAATCCACCCTGCCACTCACTGGGTGTGTGGCCCCAGGTGCTTATCTGACTGCTGAGCCTAGGCTTCCTCACCTGTAATGTGAGTACAGATTTCCTGCCTCCCACGGCTGTTCTGAGAAATAAGTGAGACCAGCAAGGGAATGCAGCCTCCATGTCTGATCCACGGAAGGTCCTTCACCAACAGGTGCGCCTCCCGCTCCCATCTTAGCCTCATAACTTTGCTCTTTCCCCCTCCAACCTATATGGGCTGCCCTCATCCCATTCACCCAAATCTCACTCATTCTCCAGGACAACGACCACGGGGGCCTTGCGCAATCCCACAGTCCCCAGAGCTCCTGTTAGGCTTCGCTATGGTTCGCGTACTGTCTGTAACTTTCCCAAAGTCCTCTACGGAGGTGACCTTTTCGCACCTGTGAGATATCTCTTCTTCGACCATGCTGAAAATTCCTGGAGCACAGGAACTGTCACACTCTGTGGCACTGTCCAGGTTAAGAAGGACCAGACACACAGCTAGTCTTCAATAAGCACTCCAGCACGCATAAACTGGATCCGACTTTAAAGAAACGACCACCGGCTAGCCACCTGACTTTCTGAGATCAAAGAAAAACTGTGCAAGGGATGAAGCACGGAGTTTTAATAAACTACACAGGTCTAACTTGACAGAGTGCATAATGCGTAAAGAGAACAGGTTTTAGAGTCAGACAGATATGAGTTCAAATCCTGACTTTACTTATCAATTTCCCCCAACAAATTATGCAGTGCTTAGCATGTGCCAGACGCTGTCCTAAGTCAGTACTATTCAAGGTGTGGTCAGTGGACCAGCAGCAGCAGCACCTGGGAACTTGTTTAAAATGCAAGCTACTGAAATCACCCAGGCACAGAAAGGCAGATACTCTATGATCTCACTTATACATGCAATCCAAAGAAGTCAAATCTATATAAGCAGAACTCCGAATGGCAGTTACCAGAGCTGGAGGCGTGGCAGGGTCAGGGGAAGGGAAGATCAGTGGTCAAAGGCACAAAGTTGCAGTTAGACCACAGGAATATACTTTGGAGTCTCTGCCACAGCGTGGTGACTGCAGTTAATAATAATGCGTAGTATGTTTCAAAATTGCTAGTAATTGACTTTAAATGTTCTTACTATAAAAATAAGGGTTGAGGGCTTGGCACAGTGGTTAAGATGTTACTTGAGATGCCCACATGGTACACTGGAGTACCTGGTCCCAGTCCAGTTCCTTTGCTTCCAGTCCAGCTTCCTGCTAATGTGCACACCGGGAAGCAGCAGGTAATGGCTAAAGGACTGAGGTCCTTGCCACCCATGTGGGAGACCCGGATTGTGTCTGGGCTCTCGGCTTCAGTCCAGCTGCTGTGGGCTTTTGGGGAGTGAGTGAACCAGAGGATGGCAGACTGATTTCTCTGTGTTTGTTTGTGTGTGTGTGTGTGTGTGTGTGCCTTTAAAATAAACTGAAAATAATTTTAAGCATTTTTAAAGTAGGTGAGGGATTTGTTAATCAGCTTAATTTAATCACTCCACAATACATGCATATATGAAAATATCAAAACATTACAATTACTCTAGAAATAATTATGCATAATTATTTATCAATTAGAAATAAAATATTTTTGAGATGCAGGTTGTCAGTCCCACTGCAGACCTGCAGAGTCAGAAACCCTGTGGGTGGGCCCCAGGCTGCTGACATTTAAAAAAAATTTTTTTAATTTTTATTTATTTATTTGAAAGGCAGAGTTAGAGGGGGGAAGAGGGGGAGGGGGAAGGGGAATGAATCTTAAATTTGCTGGCTCACTCCCCAAATGGCCGCAATGGCCACGAATGGGCCAGGCTGAAGCCAGGATTCAGGAGCTTCTTCCAGTTCTCCCAAGTGGGTGCAGGGCCATCTTCCACTGCTTCCTAAGCACATTAGCAGGGAGCTAGATCGGAAGTGGAACAGCCAGAACTCAAGCCAGTGTCATATGGGATGCCTGTGCTGAAGGTGGCAGCTTCACCCACTATGCCACAGCGCCAGCCCTGGCCACCTGCATTTTAACAAAGCCCTTAGTGAGAATCCGAGGTGCCCCGAAGTCTGAGAAGTGCAACTCTAGCTGTTTTAAAACTCAACACTTTTTGGCTATCAGACTTTGGGTCACTTATGTTCCAAGTCTCACTTTCCTTACCATATAATGGGGATAGTAAGAACCACTTAAAAATTGTTGCAAGGATTAGAAACACTTGTCATGGGGTTGGTGCTGTGACATAGTGGGCTAAGCTGCTGTCTGCAGCGTTGGCCAGCATCCAATATGGGCTCCAGTTAAGTCCTGGCTGCTCCACTTCCAATCCAGCTCCCTACTAACATGCCTGAGAAATCAGTGGAAGATGGCCCAAGTGCTCAGGCTCCTGCACTCACATGGAAGACCCATTAGAAGCTCCTGGATCCTGGCTTCCATCTGGCCCAGCCCTGGCCACTGCAGCCATTTGGGGAGTGAACCTGCAGATGGAGGATCTCTGTCTCCCCCCCCCCCCCACCTTCTGTAACTCTTTCAGTCTTTAAAAAACAAACAAACAAACAAACAAAAAAAACCAAACACCTGGCACTCAAATATTGTTGCTTTCGTCACCCTTCTTTTAATGATACCTTTGCAATAACAGGAGGGCATTTTCAGATCTCTTCCAACCAGACCTGTCCTGTCAAGCGGGTCGGCTTGCTACTAGGGGGCAGGGTTTGCTATCAGTTTCGCCAGGCTCACTGGAAATGTGTCTGAAGCAGGGGCAGTGCCTGAGCCCTCAGAGGAGGTGGCAGGGCCAGCACTTCCCGGGAGAAGGTCAGGATTTTTCCAGCCATTGTTCATTCTGCAGCAGCATAATGCAAGCTATGCAAAGTACATCTGAGCTGTGCTTCCACACCTACGCTCCTTACGTCTAGTCTGCAGCCCACTCGGTGTCTGGATGGTCACAGTGACCCCACTGGACAGTGCCCCAAAGGCCTTAGCTCATCTCTAACCTGGGCCCTCCACCTATGCACTGCCTGCCATTTAGAAGTGACACTAGGCTGGCACTCTGGCGTAGCAAGTTAAACCACAGCCTGCAATGCTGGCATTCCATAGGGGCACTGGTTGGAGTCTTGGCTGCTCCATTTCTGATTAAGCTCCCTGCTAATGTGCCTGGGAAAGCAACAGAAGATGACCCAAGTGCTTTGGCCCCTGCACCTACATGGGAGATCTGAAAGAAGCTCCTGGCTTCCGTCTGACCTAGCCCCAGCCGTCACAGCCACTTGGGGAGTGAACCAGAGGACAGAAGACCTCTCTCCTCCTCCCTCTCTCTCCCCGCAATGGCTACAGCTTTCTCCTAGCAGCTTTGCCCAACTGTAAACCCATTTGCTGCGCCCACCTCAGTTTTATCCAAAAAGGGGGTTCCAAGTCTCTGACCTTCACTCCCTGCTTGGTGGCCCTGGGCTACCCTGTCCTGAGAGGTACTAAACAGGACATTCTGATACAGCCACCTCAAACAAGGTCTTGTTAAATGTGACATCATTTTTTAGAATCAGTTACTTACGCGCAGAAGCTCCTCACGCTAGGATCATACCCACCACACAGGACTGTCACTTGTCACTCTGTTCTTTATCACAGTCTTTGGATCCTCTAACCCTACCCTAGTCCGGCCACCCCCCCCCCCACCTCCAGTGCCTTTTCATTTGCCCAGGAGGAAAGGTCTTCAAAAGTTCATGGAAAAAACTACGTGTGGATTTCTAAGATTTTTGTACCACAATAAACTTATCTTTTAACTCCATTTTCCTCCACGAACTTTTTGAAGTACTATCATGTGCCTTTTTTAAACACTGGAGGAAAGAAATGGTAGGCTCAAATTTATGAACAAGTTCTTAGAATATGGTAAAAGTCTAAGTGTATATCAATTTGTCTCCCACAAACCATATTCTTTCATTTTTTATTTAAAAAAAATTTTTTTCACACCACTGTAGTTCCTTCCATTGGTTCACCCCCCAAATGGTCACTACAGCCAGAGCTACGCCGATCCGAAGCCAAGAGCCAGGTGCTTCTTCGTGGTCTCCCATGCGGGTGCAGGGGCCCAAACACTTGGGCCATCCTCCACTGCCCTCCTGGGCCACAGCAGATAGCTGGACTGGAAGAGGAGCAACTGGGACTAGAACCCGGTGCCCATATGGGATGCCAGCGCCACAGGCGGAGGATTAACCAAGTGAGCCATGGCGCCGGCCCCCCACAAACTATACAAGGGGTTAAGGATGTGAAATGTAATACAGATCTCTGAATATTGAAAGATTTATTCCCCAGGTGGGCACGTAGTACAGGGACTAATCACTGCTTAGGAAGCCCACATCCCTTTTCATAGTGCCTGGGATAGAGTCCCCTCTCCCCTTTCAATCCAGCTTCCCACTAATGCCCAACCTGGGAGGCAGCAGGTGACAGTTCAGGTACTCGGGTATTCACGTGGGAGACCCGGATGGAGTTCTGAGCTCCTGGTTTCAGCCTGGCCCAGCCCTGGGTATTGTGGGCATTTGAGTAATAAACCAGTAGATGGAAGATCTCTCTGACTGGCTGGCTTTCAAATAAAATGAAAAAATGAAAAACATTTAAAAAGAACTTAAAGAATTCCCTGTGCTGTCTAAAGCCAAGAATAGAGGATTATGTCCAAATGACCACCCTTGCAATGTGTTCTTAATATGTTCAGTTCAATGAGATTAGCATAGTCTTATTTATACACAAAGCACAGCTATCCATTTTTCTATATTTTGAGATTGAAAATGGGGGGGAGGGGAATGTCCCTTTATTAAGCCGTCGATCTATTTTATTTCTTATTGTAAGAAATTAAAAGTATATATATTTAGGGAAAAAATGCGGGAATGAAAGATGCAGATCTTTTAAGATGAAAGATCAGAGACATGGCAAACACTCTGCTCAGAGACTGACAGCACTTTCTTCTCTATGTTCTGCCTTCAATTCTTCATTTGTATTCACTTTTTAGCCCACTGAGATCTGCTTCCACTCCTCGTCTGGAATTCCCCTAGCTATGTATTCAATGACCTCCCAGCCAATGAACTGTATATGCCTACAGACTTGATGTCAGCAGAACGCCCACCCACACCCCCGGGAAAGTCCAACACCCGCCGCATCCCCATCCCCTCCCATCTCCTTGTTGACGTCTCCCCCTTTAGCTCCTTAATGCACTGACCCCCCACTCCCAAATGCAAGCCACTGTGAACAACACAGGTTTGCAGGCTGCCAGAAATGGTTGTGTAGAGAAGCAACGACGTATAATCACATATCAGCTGCCCAGTTTTTGCAATCCTTTCTGTACTTCTACCACACAAAGTATTATCAGCTATGCCATCTTTCCAGTTTCTTCCCCTCTGGTTTCTCTGCCTCCTACCTGATTTCAACATTCTGGCTGTATTCAGGTTTGTCCGAGTCAGCACAGCAAGAAGCTCAAAGCAAGAAAAGACTTCTGCCACTGAGCGAAAAGGCCAGCAGGGACCCCAAGGTTCTGGATTTTCCTTTGGAGGTGTCCACCTTGGCAGGTGCCCCACCGAGGGAGAAGTCTTTGCTTGCAGACCCTTGCACTGCTGACTGAAGTCCTCCTAACCGCACCTCTCCCTCCTTCATCTCCTGCTCAGCCTCCAGCATGGAGATTTTGCTTCTGCCTGATCCTTGGCCTGGGGTTTCCCAGGTCTTGGTCTTCGGCTGCTTTTCACCCTGAGCTGGATGGAGATTCCCAACCCTGGCCACACATGAGGATCATCAAGGGAGGAGGGGTGATGGAGGATGCACTTCTTAGAAACACTAATATCTGGACTGCAGCCCAGCCCAGTGGAACTGGATTTCTGGGCATGGGACTTAGACCTCGGTCAATGTTAAGCCTCAGCAGGTGATTCCAGTGTGCAGCCAAGCCAGTTTCTCACTGTGGTTATACCCTGGAATTTCTGAGGGAGCTTGTCAAACACACAGATAAACACCTTGACCTCACCCCCAGACCGAAAAAATCAAAACCTCTAGGGTAGGACTGCAAATGACCAAATTGTGCAGTCCTGATTAAGAATCACAGCTCCACGGGTGGGTGTTGTGGCACAGCAGGTTAAGTGGCTTCGAACACCTGCATCCCACATCCAAGTGTCTGGTATGAGTCCCAGCTACTCTGCCTTTCTGATCCAGTTTCCTACTAATGTCCTGGGAGGCACAGATGATGTCCCAAGTACTTGAGTTCCTGTCCACATGTGGGAGACCAGGATGGAGTTCCTGGCTCCTGACCTCAGCCAGGCCCAGCCTTGGCTGTTGTGAGTATTTGGAGAGTGCACGGAAGAGATCTCTCTCTCTCTCACTCTACCTTTCAAGTATATAAATAATCTTTTTTTTTTTTTTTTTTAAATCACAGCTCTGGAGAGGTGTTCAGTTTAGTGATTAAGATGCATGCATCTCACTTGGGAGTGCCAGGATTTAATACCAGCTGTGGCTCCTGACTCTGGCTTCCTGCTACTGTAGCCCCTAGGAGGCAGTGGTGATGGCTCAAGTAATCGGGTTCCTGCCACTCATGTGGGAGACCTGGATTGAGCTCCCAGCTTCACCTCTACCCCCAACTGTTGTGGACAAGAGCTTGCTGTCTTAATTAATTGATTCATAAAATTAGTAATAAGTGATTAATTAATAAGTAATTAATAAGTGATTTATAAAATTATTGTTCTCAACTACTGCCAGGGCATCCATTGTGACCACCACTAGAGCACTGACTCCCAAATTCCCCTTCAGCTTGTACCCTGTAGCCTACAGGTGACCTTCACCTGGACATGCCACAGGTACCACGCTCCTCATCCAGCTCACTTCCCCCCATGGCTTACAGCAGGTGCATGGCACCACACCTCCCTACTAGCCAAGCCAAACCTGAATGCTAGCTCCAATACCACCTGAGACCCCTCCCCACTCAAATGTCCAAAATGGAAAACCCAATTTCCTCCAATCCTGTTCCTTCCCCACCTCAACAAAATTCTGAGACTCTTCCCTGTCCCTCTCTTCCCTCATCCTGCACATCCAATCCACCAACAAACTTCATCACCTCAACCTCCAAAATGGACCTCAAACCTGTTCATTTCTATTTCTGCTGTCACCCTCCTGGACTGTCACAGCGGCCTCTTCCTTAGGCTCCCAATCTATTTATGAAATGTTCATCAGATCACATCACTTCCCAGCGGCTCCTCCTACTGCTTTTCCAAGGAAGATTCAAATCCCTTACTGGGGAGTATAAGGAGCTGCATGACCTCACTCCTGCCACCTTTCCCACCTCACTCAGCAGTAAGGTCATCTTGCCACCATCTGCCAGGCAGCCTACCTAGCCCCACACCATCAACAGCAGCCTCTCCCTGAAGTGTCCTTGGGCAAAAGATTCTGTTTTCAGTAAGACACAACATTTGAACAAACAGAACTGACACCTGGTCATTTCCAGAGTGGGTTGGGGAGGGGTTGCATCCACATCACAGAAAGCCTCCCCTTCTCCTGGTCTGCTCCACAACCATGCCAATCAGCCATGTAGGGTGTCTGCAATGCGATTTCACCACGTCCAGCTGGGCCAGATTAAAGAGGTTACGAAACCCACAGGTGCACACACCCCCAGGTTCCTGAAAACCGGCCCTGGCTATTCCCTGAGAAGCACTGCTGCCTCCCGAGCCCACAGCTAGAAATCTGGGTCTTGCCAACAGGGAGCAAGAAGCGTGGCATTTTATAGCACATAATCAGCCTGTGGCACCAGAGCCAGGCCAGCCCCTGGGGAGTCTTCTGGATGCAGCAGATTCTGCTATCTCCTCTGCTCAGTGGCTTGTCTTGGATGCCTGAGGATGGCAAGAGGGATCTGCTACGTCTTCATAATGAAGAGACAAACAGTGGCTTCTGGGGACAACAGGAAGGCCGGTGACCCTGAGTTCTTCTTGTTCATTAATGTGTCCTAATTAATCTGAGGTTATCATAAAATACAGGCGATGCTTTGCAAACAGCAAGAGATGCATGCCTGGCAAATAATTTAAAACCACTCCTTGAAGGGATGGGTACTAGGAAGTCCAATGTCAACAGGGCTGAAGAGTATCTCTGTGCCTGGGATTAACACACAGGTCCACGCACGGTATTCATGCTAGTTTATAGAAGTATTTCCTGGGTGCACAGAAGCAGTGCTCGCTCCTGCTGGAGGTCTCAGGCACTCTCTCTGTGCCTCCAGGGCACCTCCTGTGCGCTTTGGAGGCCCACGCACCTGTGCCTGGACTTTGGCTCGGCCACTTTTCCATGTGCCCAGGGCAGGTTCCTGCAGCCTCTCTCTCTGGAAATGAGGACTATCACTCCCTCCTTGCAGGACCGTCACAGGGAGCTCTGAAGGTAACAGAGCTAATGAGTTGAAGGCCAGCAGTCTACCCAGCAGGTGCTAAGGGAACGACAGCTACTGTTACTACATTTGTGAGCGCAGTATCAGCAGCGATCCTCATCTGTTACTCACCTCCTGCTGTCCCCCTTCTGTGCCTTCGCCCAGGACTCCACCTGGGCCAGGCTGCTCTTCCTCTGGCTGTGCTTCTCAGGGTTGCCCCTGGAAGGAAAGGCCCGCTGGTAGCCGCCAGTCCCATTCTGCTCTCCCGGGCCGTAAGAGGTGGGCAGTGTGCCATTCTTCTCTGCCCGCTGGGGCTGTGCCTGCTGGCCTCTGGGGCCACTGGGCAGATCCACAAACAAGGCATCCTCGTCAGCAGGTGAATACGGGGACCTGGCCTTGCTCCTGTCTCGCTTGTTCTCCAGCGGGTCCCTCTGCGAACGGTACCGCTCTTCTTCCTGCTCCCGTCTCTCGAAGCCGAAGGAGTCGTCATGGGCACGGTGAGGGCAATCCCTTGTGTGTCCAGGACCCACGCGGCCACACTCTCGGCAGGACTCTGTGTGGTTGGCCTGGGGGACCGCCTGCCGCTCCACCTTCTCCACATCCCTGCAACAAGAGCACACACTCAGCCCACACCATGGCCAGGGCTCCCTGATGAGCACCCTTCTTGGTCACTCACCTCCAGGCCTCTGCACGAGCCACTCTTCTGTTGGGAACACTTTCCCTGCCCACCCTCACTTTGCCTGCCTACCTTCTTCTGGCTTAAGTGTCATCTCCTCCAGGAAGCCACCCTGATATATACCCCCAGTCTAGAATGATACCACATGCTGGCCATGTCGTCACACTGCTCACACTGAGACCCTCACTGCATGCTGACTCTTGCAGCTCCCAACTAGACCATGAGTTCTCAGGCCAAGGTGAACCTTGGCCCATCTGGAACGGCTGTCACCATGACTGGCAAGGGGAACCAGTGTGCACTCTATCAATACTGCTGAATCAAAGAATGAATCAATGAGACATGTGACATTCTCAGGAAGACCATGCCTGAGCTGTCTTCCCACTCAATGCCACTGTTCCTGTCTCCTCTATGTGTCCCTCTGTCTTCCTGGGGTTTGGACAGAAGGCTGCTGAGCCAAGGATCTCTCCTGCTAGTGTCTGGCACAGCCCAAAGTACAGTTGGCAGCACAACTGACAATCTTCAGAGAACAGGTACCTCTGTATATGTCTGTGTCCTCAGGGGACAGCTCCAGCAGAATAACATTGACCTCAAAGACTCCTGTGAAGTATTATTAGACGTTAGAAGGAAGTGGAGACATGGGGAAGACCAGTGAGCATACAGCTGGGACACAGTGGAGCTAGGGCTCAAACCCAGGCAGACCCCAGGGCCCATGTACTTCTGCTTCTCCGTGTGTGTGTGTGTGTGTGTGTGTGTGTGTGTGAGATAGAGGGAGGGAGGGAGGGAGAGAGAGAGACCATGCACTACACACATGCAAATCTAGGAACTCAAAAGGAGAAGGGGGTGTGTGGTCATAGGTCAGGATGTGAACTGAAGCTAGAAGAGGAGCTTTTGGGATGGAGCAGAGGGCTCGCTCCTCTTTCATGGCTGTGTCCCACTGTCACCTGCCTCTCTCCCTTAGGACAGGGTCCTGGTTTATCACTTTGCTCAGGGATGTAACAGTGGCTCCAAAAGCTTTGCAGAATTTATGTTGGAGGAGCAGGCGAACATACTCCATCCCACTTGGACCAGATACTTACCAGGAACCCTGAGATGAGGGATCATAAATCTTAGTCCTCACTGTGTATATACTTGAATATGCACAATCCCACCCATGCCTGTACTTCCTGGAAGTAAATTTAATAGGGCATGATAAATCTTTCTCTTCAGAGTAACACCAGCATTTACTACAAAACAAAACTTTAGAGGTAGACAAAAGAACAGTTGTCTCCTTGCCACCCTGTGGTTTTCTAGCCCCAAAGAGTTTGGGGCGGGGCTGGCGCTCTGGCATAGCAGATAAAGCAGCCGCCTGCAGTACCGGCATCCTGTATGGGCAACGGTTCGAGTCCTGGCCGTTCAACTTCTGATGCAGCTCTCTGCTATGGCCTCGGAAAGCAGTGGTAGATGGCCCAAGTGCTTGCACCCCTGTACCTATGTGGAAGACCTGGAAGAAGCTCCTGGCTTTGGATAAGCCCTGATCCACCCATCGTAGCCATTTGGAGAGTGAACCAGTGGATGGAAGACTCCTTTCTCTCTGCCTCTGCCTCTCTGTAATTTGACCTTTCAAATAAATAATTAATTCTTAAAATGAAAGACTTTGAGGCTAGGAACAGCTCATTCCCCTGGCTCCTGGCACTTTGTAAGAGGTGCCTCTGGCCAAGGTGTCCAGGTGGTAGCTGCAGGTAAGAAAGGTGATGGTGAGGCTCTACTCCTCCTCCTCATCTGAGTTAAACAATTAACTCACCAAGTTGTGACATCTAAGGCCATAAGGGGTTTCTAATTCTTATCCTATTTCCTTGCATCCCCCCAAAATTTAACACACAGCTTTTCAAATCAGTAGACTTATCACAAAAGAGGTCTGTGATGCTCAGTTTAGCACAATGGTGAGAAAGAATGAAGCACGCCAGGCCATCACAACTATAGGACCTGGCCATGCAGAGCACAAGTGATTAGCTAAGATGACACAAGCCTTTCCCAAGAGAGCTGCTGTTCCCAAGCAGGTCACCACTATTGCTGTGAACACCTGGAACCAGTGACTGTTCAAAACACAGAGAACTGCGGACACTTGGCAACCATTCGAGCCATGTGTATCACTTTTTGAAAATGACAAACACAGAGAACACAGGGTTTAGAGCCCGCACTATCTGGATTCAAGAGCTGGCTCTTTCGCACATATGCTGGGTGTCTCTGGGCACTTGACCTCTCTAGTCTCAGGTTCCTCATCTGTGAAATGGAACAGCAGCCCCTGCCTCTTCGGGGTATTGTGAAGATTAAAGGAGATGAGGCCTGGGAAGAGCCAAGCACAGCGTCTGGCACACGGGATGCCCTCAGAGGCAAATGCCTTGATGATTCAACATCGATTCTTGGCCTTCTTTGTCCCAACATCTTCAAAGCAGCAATATATCTGCAAAAGTTTATATTTCCCACCCTCCCTTGTAGCTGGAGGTGACGATATGCCAGCCCTGGCCAACAACAGAGCAGAACTTGCTGGGTCAGGTCTTCCAGGAAAGCCTTTATAAGAAGGCAGGCTTACCTAACCCTTCTCTGCCTCCTGCCTGGATTGGCAGGTGACAAGAACGAGAATGAAAGTCACCTGCTAACACCTGAGTAGACAGCAATAAAACCACCCTGTCCAGGTCTCCGAGGGTAGCATGGAGCCACTGCACCAACCTGGATTCCCCACCTCTGGATCCTGTCACGTGACAAAACTAAAGCCCAACCTCCTTAGGCCACCTGAAGCTGAGCTATTTTATTATTAGCAACCAAATGCAGTCTCTAATTCACAGAAGGGACCGAGCTCTTCACTGGCTGGAATCGGGCCTCTCTAGTTTCTGCTTACCCCAGGGATGCCGTGTGTCTGCTTAGAGAAAATTCTTGCTTCCCCTCAAAGTGGGAAAAGCACACACCTCAAAAGAAAAGGATGCTTTCTTCTTATTCCTTTTCTTCACAAGAACTTGGAAGTAAAAAGATCTTGCCAAGCATTTATGCACTGATAATTATTTTATTCTGTCTCCAAACTTTTAATCTCACTCGGCAAGAAGGCATCGTATTTCCCTCTATCTTAATGCTAAACACACACACACACACACACACACAAACACCACATTGAATGATTCAAAGACTGAGGTGGGCAGAGGTATGAGAGCTTGTAGGGAGCTTGGTCATGTTGGCAGATGCAGCTCTTCGGCTGACCCCCCACCCCTGAAAATTCCCTCCCTACTCACTTCACCTAAATGACCACATTAATTGTCCAAGAACAAGAGCCAGGCCACTGATATTCTTGGCAAGCTCCATCTGAGCCCATCCAGGTGGCAGAAGGCCTATGAAAACAAAGCCTGAGTCCTGAGCACTGCCCCCAGTCTAAGGGGCAGGGTGGGCTCAAGACCTAAGCTCATCCTGGAAGCAATCGATAGACTGGTACCAAGGGCTGCAGATCTAGGGGCCCGAGGTAGCTGCAGAGCCCGCCGGTGGAAGGGCTTGCTCTCTTGGATTAGTTCCTCGTGCCCGAGGAAGGTGACAGCTGAAGAGAAACAGCCAGGAGTTGGTTTCATCTTTTCCTGAGGTCAACAGAGCAGCCCCCCTGGGACAGGGGTAACGATGCCGCTTCCTCTCACGCTCTGTCTGCTCTGCCCAAGTTAACAACACAGGGCCTGCCAGCTCTGATGGCAAACTCCGCTGTTTCTGGGCTGCCTTCCCCAAGGGGAGAGCTTGGCTGCAGAAGCAGTGGAGTAACCAGGCTGCCAAGCTGAGCTGCCTCTTGCTTCGGTAGAGTGGCTACTGGAAAAATTCCTTGTGAGCTGTACGGATCAACAAACCAGACCAAGAAGAGGGATGTTTAGTGGCTGCCAGGGGCCCCACTCCCCACCCCATTTTGTGCCTTCCTCATGGAGAAATCCTGTCTTGTTTCTATCTGGGCAAGGTGGACCCCTGTAATGGTTCAGCCTAGCCAGTCTGAAGCTCTGGCACTTGTGAGTCTCATTCACTGTCCATGCCCCTAGGGCAGTCACAGCCTGGGTCATAGGCTTTTTTTTTTTTTTTTTAAATGGCCAATGCTTGTTTATTGTTGCCATGGGCTGGGGCCTACTGTGTGCAAGGAATTCGACACAGGCCATTTCTAATCCCTGCCACAATCCTGCAAGATGCAGACAGCTGAGCCTGGAGAGGCTGGGGTACTCACAAATGAGCGCCAGGCTCATTTACAATAAACTGTCTGTGACAAAGGACAGGGACAGTGAAAATGGCGGCGTCAGTCATCACTCACTGAGCACTTACTGAACACGAAGTCATGAGCTAAGCCCCATATTACCATATTACCTCTTCTCATGATCACAGAACCCACAGATGTTATTACTCACGAGAGAGGAGCTCAGAGAGATGCACCAACTTGCCCTGGGTCACCCAACCAGTTCAGAAGCTGGACTCAGACCCCAGCTGATCCCACTCCACAGCCCTGTACCAGACTGAAAATGTATTTATAAATTATTTTCTCCTGTTGAGAGACAAAGAGGCTTGCGCAGCCTCACTTTGCCCAAGGTGGTCAGAGTGTGGAAGCCTAAATATTTAGCTCTCCAAAGACAGTGCAGATAGCCAAAATGACTGGGCCATTTCTGAGCACACTGATTCCCCACACACAAGTCTGACAAAGCCTTGATCATCCCAAGTCATTCTTTAAACATCTCACATGGAGAGGTCTCACAGGTGTTTTTGTTCATCCGTTCTGCCACCTCTCTACCCAGCCAGCCAAATATCCATGCACCTATCCATTAATTGAACATCTATGTGCCAGGCACTGATACTTGAAACCTACAACAGTCTCACCTATCAATGAGCTAAAGTCTGGTGGGGGTGGCGGTGAGGAAGCATGTCAATCTAGCTTTAGAATGAAAGATCT